GATAGATAGATAGATAGATAGATAGATAGATAGATAGATAGATAGATGATGAACAGTAATAACAAAAACAACAAAATGGTTGTTTACTGGAGCCTGGCCTATCATAGCAGCTTCAGTTCAACTTTCCTTAATTTTGTAGACTTCAAGAGATTTGGACTGAAAATTGTCTAATTTTGTTGCATAATTTATGCCCAGTTGTTTCAACTTTTAGTGTTTAAGAGATAAGAAACGGTTTATGTTGTGAAAGCCCACAATTGCAGGTACTCTTTAATTGCCTTTCTTTTTCTTGTTCATTTTGGCAGTGGTACAAATTGGAGTAGAGATTTAGGATATTACCGCCTGAACACTCTCTTGAAGCTTTTGTTGATCTTGAGCCTCCTGGAACAGCAGGGATCCTGCCGGGTTGAGAGGTTGACTCCCAACACTGTAATTGCGAGGCCGTTTTACTGTGTCCGGACTGGCTAGTGGTGTAAAGCTGTTCCTTCTCATCCTTACAGGGGTTTGGCTCTTTAGAAGGTTATTCTGATTAAAAATGGAGGATACCATAAGAATGAGAAAACTAACTCACAAAGCAAAAACAATGCCACTGACTGTTTCTGATGCCAGGCTATCCATCCAGGTGTCTATCAACCCCTCCCCCATAACCTCTGCCCTACAGCACACAATGTGATAATTACAATTCTGCTTCCTAGGACATCTAAGAAATATGAATATGAGTAGTATCCAAGAGTGCTGGAAATGACTCTGCTTGAGAGAGGTAAGATAAGTAGAGTTTTGCTGAGCCTACCCTTTTATCCCCTGCATTCCCCATGCCCAGCCCCAGAAAGCTGATCTGACGGACTTGGGAAGCCATGTAACAGCAGCATATGACTTCAGAAGGAAAGGAAATAGGCAAAAATTTGGTCATAATCTAATTTTATCCATATTCCCAGGGCCAAATGGATTTTGCAATATATTTTACTAAAGATCTTCAATCTATCAATTCCTGCACCACGTCAGACCACATTACCAAAACGGATGATATGTTTTTTCTTATTATTCAAATAAAAAGCATAAAAATACACAAGTTTTAACATCCTGAGAGAATGAAGCACCAACATTTTATTTACTCTCCTCCCAAGCATATTGAGTTGGCTCAATAGGTGCAATCCTGTCAAACTTCATACTACGGTACAGTAGCAAATATCAATTTTCCAGAAACAACATCTCCACACTCAGAAGCTCCTCAAGCTCAATAGAGCTAGGTCAGTTAATTTATTGCAAACATAATGTATGCCCAGATATTGATTCCTGTAGAGTTGTCGTAGATCAAACTTAGTCTCAATTATATGTCAAGCCTGTGTTTAAATCTTAGATCTTTAGAAGTCATATTAGCTACTGTCCAGCTTTGTCCAATCATTTAGTGCCTCCTACTGGTCAGCAGCTAATATAGTATCTAAAACTAGATAACATATGGGCACACATACTCTCAGAGACAGACAGACAGACAGACAGACACACACACACACACACACCATTCTGGGGACAGCCAGTCTTGAGGCCTCTAACACAAGGCCCAGATTAATAAAAGCACAAAACTGTCTGGCATGAAAGCACATTGAAAACAAACAGAAAAGGTGTACTGCATATCTACTAGACATTTTCCTCTGCTTTTCAGTTAATGGATTTCATGCTATTCTTTTCCCAGCCTTGATTGCTGGGTACATTTTTCCTTGGTTATATAAAGATTTTGTCTGGCTGAGAATGGTTCCAGTTCTGCTAACATAACTTTTACAAATCCCTTCCTTCCTTTTCTGATAATGTCACTACTACAATCTCTAGAGCTTGTAGCAGCAGCTGAATTTTAAAGAAGTGACAGTTGCTCACCTCTTCAGTAAACCAAGTGGGGAAATCATAATGGAGTAAGGAACTAATTTTACCTGCTCTTAATTATAAAGGTTCTGCAACAGTATGTTTAAAAAATAGAAAGTATTCTATGTTGCTTATGTCTTCATCGCAATTATTACAAACTGAGAGAAGATCCTGTCTTTAATTAAAAGATTAATTAATTTCCAAATTAATAAAACATAATGTTCAGCAAGAAATTCATCTTTTTTAAAGATAGAAAAAAATGACTAGGAAAATTTGTTTCTGATAAATAATTGCAGTGAAAAAATTAAGCATGACAAAAAAACTACTTACATATTAACTGCCACTTGTACGAGGTAGAAAATAATTTTTTCACATAAATTCTGTAATTTTAGCTTTTGTTTTAAAACACAAATTTTAATTTGCACAACTAAGGCAACTTTGACACCAGAGGAATCTTGTTTCAGTATACTATGCTACAATAGCATTACTATAATGTGATCATTCTGACACTGCAGTTGGTACACAGTGACCATTTTTAAGGTACAACTGAAATATGTGATATCTCTATTACACTACCTGTATTGGCCACAAGTATGTTTTCAGGTAAAACTTACATTGTGGGTTTTGCTATTTAAAACACTATAAGATTTTGATCCAGGTTATTGGAAAGTTCAACTTTATCAGCATTAAGCTGCTTACACTTGATCAGTGCTGAAGGTCTTGTCTACCTTTCAAAGCAAAGAGCTTTAACAGTACGGTGGAGAGGGCCTTTTGAAAAGGAACTGTTGAAACTCTTTTTCGCGTAATACCTTTTGAGTAGTAGCTTTCAGGCCCTTTATTACACCAAATGTACCTATTGATCATGACATTTAACTGTTTTAGAGATTTTGTCATTTTAGCAGCTTTTAAATGTTCTAGTTTGGGTGTAAATATTTGTTTTTAAAATAGTGAACAAAGTTATGTTCAGATATTACTTTTCCTACGAAAACCTGGGGAAAGGTGTCATTTTCTACAGATTAATTCACAGCAAGTTAGCAGTTGAGAAAATTGATTAGGAATTAGAAATATAGCACAGGATATGTAAGCAATGTATTTCATGCTAGACATACATAAAATAATATCAGTAGCATGCAAAGAATTGGGGTGAAATTCAAGGATGCATAGACAGATTTCTTTCTCTCCCTCTCTTAAGTACCATTAACAGCTTTTCTGTAGCCTGGGAGATACAACAGAGCAAATATTAAAAGTACATGGGGATTAGAGATAGAAAGGAGAATTTTCCTTTTCCAGTTTTGTCAGTTTAAATCTTTCTCAACAACACCACTGTTTTGTATATTATTTCTGATATAAGAGTGTTATCCAGTGCCTACTTCTGCTCAGCAGAATGGGTATTCTCATACACCAGTGACTTTTAAGATCATATTTTATATATTTTTTTCTAATACAGGAAAAATATATATTGGTATTGCATAAGAATTTGTACAGTGCCTACTATTGCAGCCTATAAAGAAATAATTTCTACTTTAGAAGATTGAAGTGAGATTTTATTGCTTCCTTTGGCCTACTAGATACCTAAGTGGGTAGGATGCATGACTAAGTCCTCCACACCCTATGACAGTACAGATGGGAAAAATTTCCCAAGAGGCTCTTTGCATAAGAACACAAATATTTTCCATGGATAAATATCTTGTGACTAAATGACTAGGAAACTTCAGTCAGCTTTTAAAATAGAAATTATTATTGTTGTGGCCTTCACATTTTTGCAGTTTAACTCTCAAGTCAACAGTCTTTCCCCTAGATTATAAAAAAATGTGAGACTATTCTTTTTCTATCAATAGCATTATATGACAGAGCTTAAAGCTTTGAAATGTAGAAATAAAAGTATATTGGAAAGTAGATATCTAATAAAGAGTATTAAATTTGAATTATCTCCTTTCAGTTGATCTTGACTATTATATATGGACATTGTTTTCCTGGCAATAATACAGAAGTGGATTGTTCTTCCTTTGTTTGGGATTTTCCTTCCCCTTCAAGTTGCTGATTTAGCTTGCAGCCTAGGTATTTCACTGCTGTTCCATCCAAGAAGTAGCTAGCACTAACTTTGCTTTGTAACAATCTGCCAAGGACAGATACATGCTGCTAACATTACCAATTAATTGAAAAAGATTTAGAGCACATAGGTGAAATACAGTGGTGAGATTCAAATAATTTAACAACTGGTTCTCTGCCCTAATGACTGGGTGGGTGGGTGGCATGGCCATGGTGGGCGTGGCCAGAGGTGTGACAGGCAGCATTCGACCTCCTGCACCCTCCGGGAGCAAAAACGGGCCAGGGGTAACATGCCACCTCCCATGCCCTGTTTTGGGCCTAGTAGGCCTCCATGAAGCCTTCTGTGAGCGAAAACGAGCCACGGGGGGGGGAGCGCTGCCTCCCGCACCCCATTTTGGGCCTAGGAGGACTCCCTGCACTTACCTGGGAGCCAAAATGGGGCACGTGGGGACTCCTGGAAGGGGCAGGGTGGGAAGGGGCGGGGCGGGGCCAACCAGCAATTTAATTACTGTTCACCCAAACCAACCCGAACTGGCTGAATTCCACCACTGGTAAAATACCAATTTGCATGAATTAATATAAATGCATATTTGCAAATTTAAAAATTAGTGGTGTTCATTTCAATAAAAGTATTTCCAGGAATCCGCAGAATGATTTTCTCTCACCACCAAGTTACATACTCCACCCCATATGTTTATACATTGCACTAGGCCACAATTTGTTTTTATCTTGGTTTGTTGACCAAGCCACATAACATTGTTGGGATGGGGCCTATGTATGGGTTCTTAAAGACCTAACCAGACAATAGGAAACTATGTTTAAACCGAATATCAGTATTGTTTTTATACTTAATATCGAAGAAAATAAATACTAAAAGTTATGTTATATTTGCTGGGAGAGTCAAAGCAATTGCATCTTTGTCTTTAAATTAACAGATAAGAGATCATGCTAATAATGTAAACAAAGCCAAAGAAATATTATGTTATCAGATATTTGATCTGGCATGCAGGAATGTAATTAATAAGAAATCAGACAGTGTTGCCAGTTGCAATCTGGAGAAGAACTCAAAGCAAAAGAAGTGAAACCACCACTTGGGAAGATTGATTTTTGGAATGCACAATCACAACAAAAACAAATGAAGCATATTCTACCTTACTGTGCATGTGAAATGACATATTTGCTAAGGCTGGAAGAATTAACTGTTCTTTTTATTGACAAAGCACTGGTTTATTCCCTTTGATAGGGCACTTTTCATCTTCACGAGGTCTTATCTGCAAATTTTGGTAACTCAAAAAAAAAATTTTTTTTTACATGTGTTGACTTTGTACAGAAGCCTCTTCTGCTGCTTGCAATAGATTAATAGAAGAATTAGAAATACTTCTGTACAAATGCAGCACCTACACAGAAACTTCTTTTGTAAAGTGAAACAACATGGCTCTTGGAGATGGATCCACAGTTTCACACAGCATCATGAAGGGTGCTTCACATGGGCCTTCATCACCACAGAGAACCATTTTGAAGCTCTGCCCGAGCCAATATTTGTAAACAGAATAAAGTCTTCACAGTCTCTTCTCAGAAATGAAGCATTTACAATATTTTTATATAACTTTTACCAATGAAGCTACACAGTTCAGAGTGGATCTGAAACTTGGATGCTGATCAAGATGCTGTATCTTGATCTGCTCATATTCAATATGAAGCATTGCCTTGAACAGTCACTGATTGTTACATAGGTGACAACTGACAGACTTCTTCCCTACTTAAAGTATTTAGATATTTATGGATTTCTATTGCCTTTCTAGCAATTCTGAAAATTATGTTATACTGTTCCATGATGCTAATATTTTCTGAATCTGTTTTTCTAATTTGGCCCTTGTGAGTAGTGTTCAGCTAAGATGACTCTCCTCATAATCCTTTCATGTTTTTTAAGTCTGTACTTTGTAGAGTATTTGGTACGTCCAATGTAGCTGTCCACAAACTATTTATCAGAATAAAATAAATGTTATGAATTTACTTTATGGTTTCTTTCTATATTCATGAAAACCTGCTTTTCTCACATATTTGGGGAGAACAAAAGAAATGAAAAACACATTATAAATATAGTACTCTTTTCACCCTTTCCTTTCTTGAGAATTACCTAAGATTGAAATAAAATATAAAATAGATAAGAAGATAGACGAGTTATAGCAGAATATTTTTTAGTACATACCACTGTAGATGGCTTGTCCCGGTGAGTGTCTACAGCTTCAACATTCAGAGAAATCATTTCTAATTTACAGCCTTCATAAAATTGAAAATATAAGGAACTTTAGGCACCATTTTTGGAATTGAAGTACTATAATATCATCAGAGAAATGACAAGCGATATGTATCAAGGAAGAGACCTGAAATACTTGAAAGTGTCTGCTTTGACAGACTGCAAGAAGGGCTATGCCAAAGTAGGCAAGAATTAGACATATAGATGGAAGACATAGATCTCACTGTAATTATTTAATTAGTTATTCCCCAACAAATCACATTTAATTTAGCTTATCATTGATTTAATTTAACATGTTTTTATCAGGAAGAGTATCATGATTTATAAAGGGAAACTGAGATGGGTAAAAGCCACACATGTACCAAAAAGTAATATCTAATTGTACTAATTACGCTTTATTAATTCAAGAAATAGAAGATACCTAATCTAATGAAACAAGTGATAAGGTAAATAGATATTTGTATTACTGCTTTTTTCTCCCAAGTTCCCACATAAACAAATAAATACTTGCCATAAGCAACTGGTGTAAGCTTAAAGATGGTATGAAGAGGACATCTTAAATAAGGCAATTCATCTAAGATAAAGTAATAACAGTTAAACAGATGTGCTTGATAGTAATATAAAACACACAGTATCCTTTGATTCAGCTGGAATTTAATTAATGAACAAACCTGCAGGCTCTGAAGAGTGACACACAGACAACGTTAGAATTAGAATTGAGATACAATTCTAATTCTAGATTAGAATAGAGGTAATACAACTATATTCTCACAAAATTTGAGTATTCTAAATATTCTGCTGTGCAGAAATTTAACAATTTCAACATGGAACTCAATCTAATTACCCTAAACCTATTACATAATAGTAATTCTCTGAAATTATCTAAAGAAAATTTCTTTCTAGTCAATGGACATACCTAGGTAGCTTTGCTGCAGCAATATGGAAGTAGTTTGCTGTTGCTTTCAGAGAATACTTTTAAATTTCCTGATAATACTTACAACCATGATATTTCCTGGAAGTCTCATACTGAAGCATTGATCAGGCGTGATCTAGACAACATTGGCCAGGAGGTACTACTTCCTAAAATGATATATTATATTACATGGGTCTTCTACAAAATAGCATGGTTTTCCTCAACTGGACATCTTCCAGTTGCATGGAGCATCTGTGTGTGTGTGTGTCTGTGTGTGTCAAAATCTGCATCATGATCATAGATTTGAGATTCTCAGTTATGCATGCAATATTGACACACATTCAAAAGGGGCTGGACTCTGGATTATGATGCCACATATGCAAATTTTGTCACAGAGACATAGACAAGCCAATTTAGCAAGATAGCTAGGAATTCTGGAAATGTTAGTCCAAAGATATCTAGACTATACTAGACTAGGGATGGTTAATGTAGCAAGTATAACCCAATAATACTGAGTAACATTTCAAGAACATAGAGAAATAATCGATATAAAAAACAAAATTGCAATAAAGCCTGGTCAAATAATAATTTTACAGTTGCCTTTACTGCACATTTATTACATAATCACATCCTCACCTCCATACTTTATGATTACTGGCTCCAATAACAGTAAAAAGCACTGAATGTGTATATGTATGTTTTGAAAGTGCCAATAATGTCAATAACTTTAGGCAGGACAGTCATATCTAGTCTTGAAAATAATCAACAATATGAAACTGAATCTATTATAGTAACCATGACAGCCTATAAACGCAGGAAAAAAAAAGGAAGAGTATGTGTGAATTTGAAGGCTGAGATTTATCTGGATTAAAGCAGGCAAAATGGAAAATCTTCCCTCCTTGCACATTGCAGTTTTGAATGAAATCTATCCTCGTGGCTGCTATTAATATTGTTATTTATTAAACTGATGTGGTTACTAATTATGCATTTATTGCCTTATGTGGTTAATAAATTGTTTCCTATTAAGAAAGAGAAGCCTCTTGGTAGTTGAAGGCTGTATACAGTTTGGTTTACATTGGTTTTACTAGATTAAGGCAGCATAGCAGTGGTGGTTGGGGTTGTCAGGTAAAAGTAGGTAAGGCAATGTTAAAAAAGGAAGCAGTTCAGAAAATATGACATTAAAAAAATCAACATCAAAAAACAAAGTTCCCTCAAAGAGTTGCTGTGGAAAAGTACCAAAGAAAAGAACTACAAGCTGAAGTTTTATGGCAAGCTATGATGATCAACTTCAATTAGGTGAACTGGGGATCTAAAGCTTAGAGACGGAACTGCATATAAACTGATCACCTCTATTCTAGATAATCACTGCCTTATATCCATTTGCTATAAAAAGAAAAGATTTTTTACCTGCACTCTTATCAAGAAAATAGGCCAATAGACATCTCATAACTGCCTGGTGAGAAATAACTAGGACATTCTCTTGACGTTCCAATTCCATAATTACAGGTTCCAAGCGCTGGACCAAGTCTTGGTAAGACTAAAAAAAGCCCAAGAAAAATATTAATCAAAAAGAGGGAAGTTTCCAATAAATGTGTCTTTAAAATATCCAAATATTTTTTTCTACCTAGACGACTATTTATTATATTTTATCTACATATTACATATATTACATATATTACATCATGAATCTTTGTTGGAAAATTTAACATAGCTTACATGAATTATTTTGATTTGGGGAGGGGAGGCAAGATTTCTAAATCAAGAACTTTCTTATTCTTTATTGGCAGCATTATAACACAGGGGTTTCAAACTGGCGGCCCATGGGCCAAATGCATCATGTGTAGGCCATGCCCACCCCAACCCTGCGAATGGGAAAAATGTTGCAAAACATCACATGATGGCAACGTGATGCGGTGAGTTTGACACCCATGTTATAATGCCTGAAAATCTGTCAGTGGGTATAATTGCATAATTTAGATGATTCAGAAGGCTCTGATAGCGTTTCGGATTTCAAAATCTAACACTGTATTAGAAGTTAATACTTTGAAGATAAGAATAAGAATTTCTGGAAGCAATTATGTCACACTAAGACTTGCTGTGTTTCTGCCCCAAAATGATAAAGCTTGTTTATTATGCCATTTCTCAAGCAGCTCCAGGAGACTTCTATATTATAGTTCATTTTTTAACTTTAAAATATGTTTAAGGACTATTGTTGCAATACACTGAATACACTTCCAACTCTATCAAATGAAAGTGGTAATATTTAGTTTAATATAGCAATGATTAAAAAACACACTTCTCCTCCAGGATAGCGGTAAAGGTATTTCTCTTGATCTCGAAGTGCAAACTCTTCTGGATATTTTCTCTGAATCTCTTCATATGTCATTTCTTCACATACTCCCTAGAAAATTAAGAATGGAACTCAACTGAATTTAATTGAACTTAAGCAATTGTTTTTTCCAAGACTTACGTTTCTCCAAACATTGCAGCAGATATATTATATCATCTATTATTCCAGAAGCTTGGAAAGAGGAACTTGACAACACTGAACCTGATGTATTGATAAAAGTGCTTCTTGACTGCAGCCATAGTTGCCCTATTGAATTGGGATTTATTTTTGAATTTAATTTATGAAATGGAGGAAGAGAGGGAGGGAGAGGGGGAGGGGGAGAGAGAGAAAAAGAGGTGTAGACAGACAGACAGCTGGATAGATGAAATTGTATGAGCTTTTCTTTATGGCAACGAAGGTTACTTGAAACTACATCACCACTATTCTTTTAACTTTTCTGTTATTCTACTCACTGCATCGATTTCATTCAGTATCTTCCATTGCTCGTATGGCACTCCTAGGGCTTCTGCTGTTTGGATTGTTCTTTTCAACTGGCTAGTCCAAACTTTCAGATCCATAATCTCTTGCTCTTTGATAAACCTTTTCAATGCCTCAGCAAACTATAAAACAATACAGTATGATTAACATTTTCCCTTGCATATTATGAAGATAAGGACAGCAACTTGTCTTTGGTGCTGCTTACATTTTCAGGACAAAAATTTAAGGTGGCATTGGGAACAGTGATTTGGAAGCTGTAGCAAGCAACTCTTCTCCCCAAGTCAGCTAAATTTTTATAATCACAAAGTTCAATAGAAAATTTGCCATTTTTCTTATATTGTATACAATGGTCATATTCCTTTTTTGTTTCCAACTGCTATGCTACAATTCCAACTGTAATAGGAAGTTTTTTGATCCAAAAGAAGCTTCTGTCAGTGTACCATTCTGAAGACTTCTCCCTTGTTACACACCAATTTTGGAGAAGTACAGTGAGCTGTAACAAGGCATGAAAGAAACCTTCCATCAAGGAAAGGTAAATTGACTGCAATCCATTATCTAAAGCTAACGTATCAAACAGTGGGTTATATAATTACATGTAAGCATATTTCTATTATAAATGTTTCTAAATGGCTCTGCAAGAAACTTGCAGAGTTTCTGTGATTACTATGAATTCTGATTTATACTAGAAGTTTACCAGTAATATACCAAGGAGTGGGTTACTTTGAGTAATCACAATCTTTTACGGTAAAATGACTAAGGATGGAAGATATCACAGAGGAAATTTGAGGTATAAATGCTAAAGAAATCTTCTATTTTTTATTCCATTCAATTTATTTAATACGCATTTGTATCTTTTTAAATGTTTTTTAATGATGTAAAGTGATGATGTCTATGGGTATTCTCAGAATACTATTTACTACAATAAATTGAGCTATTCTTCCAGGAAAAACTTGTAAATTTAGAATGTAATATTTGTTGTTTTGAGTATGTATTTCTGGTCTTCAGCTGAAATGAAAGTAAATGTGAGCAGAAAATCTGTCTTAATTTAGCTGTTAGTATGCAAATTCATATAGCTCCTGTTTGTAATTCATTAAAGCAATGTGAGTGCAGAAAACATGTTATGTTTAAGGAGTTGCTGACAACTAAAATGTGTGTGCTCTGACTGCCTTTTTGCCTTGAATCCGAAACACTGCAGTGCCCTACAAAATATGCAAACTTCCTGTGAATTAGATCATACCTGCTTCCCACGTGTTGACAGGCCCGAATCTCCACCTATCTTTTTAATAAGGTTGCATTCACTTTCTCCATGTCTACAGAGATAGATTGTGCGTGGCTGAATGTGAATATTCATGAGATAATAGACAATTTTACTTTGGATGTAGTCTTGGACCCGGTTGACCAGAAAGCGCTGCCCAACATTGATAACTTTAATGAAAGAAAGGTCTCTGTAATTAAAAATATACCAGAAATCATTAGGTATCAAGCCGTCACACAATTATTTAATGTCCGTTTTTGTAACTAAGGGAGAGTACACCACAAAAAGAAAGGTAAAAGGCTGATGCATAAAATAGATGAACTTGGTTATTTTAATATGAGAACTAGTTTCTAATTATATATTAGATCTGGGCAGTATTTAGGATTCAGTCTCCAAAAGATGTTTCAGAGATGCTGGAGGATGAATATAGTACCTATTGTGCAAGCATTGGACTTGCACAATAGCCGCAGAATGTAATGTGATTGTAGGAAAAAATACAGTACCTTTTGGAGATCAAATCTAAACTGCAGATAATCTCTCTCTCTCTCTCTCTCTCTCTCTCTCTCTCTCTCTCTCTCTCTCACACACACACACACACACACACACACACACACACACTCACTCACTCACTCACTCACTCACTCACTCACTCACTCACCACTATCCCAAAGCAATAGATATGAATGAGAAGTGGCAAGATAGTAGTAAAAAGATATTGAAAAGCGGAAAGTTAAAAGCTTATTTCTATGAAATCATGAGGAAGTATTTAGCAAGTATTTTCAGACATACAAAAAGTATCTCTGATTACTGAGATACTTTTTAAAGTATACTAATTATTAAAAACATTTCAATGTGTTTAAAACTATTTCTAAATATTGCTAAAAAGGAGAAGTGATTCTTGCACCAGTCCCAAACCAAAATAGATGTTACAAAACCTGATTCTTATACTAGAAATTCTTTCTGTTCTTAATAAGTAAAATCTCTGAATTCTCCACTATCTTCTACAATATGCTTCCAGAAATCATAATTTCCTCCCATCTGTTCTTCCACTCCATTTCTACTCCAAACACATGCAGTAACCATGATCCAGAGAAGTATCAATGGAATGAGGTACGGTAGAAGGTGACTTTTCAACTCTTTTTCCTCTGGCAACTTCACTGATCAGTCTCTCCTGAAGTTTGGAATGGTGAAGCATTCTTTTGTGATGGATTAAGGCACAGGGAGTTTAGAACGGAACAAATGTAACTGAAAAACTGGGTGGAGTATTGTGATCCCAGAATAATCCTCCATTTGAATTTCATCAAGTTTATAAGGAAGACCTTATCTTCCCCTGTCACAGCCCAAACCTATTCAGGAAGAGGCTTTTCAGGGAAGGTCTTCAGAAAAGTCACCTCTGCCTGGTTTTCCGTTGGTGTGTCCTGGATCCAAGTCTATGATCAAGAATCCCCATGATTCCTTTGCTGTGCATCTTACTTGTCATAATCAACTGGATCAAGGGGTTGATAGGTGACTTTATAACATTCTATTCTCTTCAGAAAATCTTCCATCACATTCTCTCGGTTTCTTTCTGGATAATCTGGACTGGAGACTTTAACATCCTGGTGCAACCAAAAAATAAACTCTTTGAAAGATAAACTCACTCTATACAAAAACTTTGTATACACATAAAGAAATAAACAGTGGTGATAACAATCTTAAGCTCTACTTTTAATAAACTACTTTTAATAAATATTATCTTCTAACAAAGTATTGACCATTTTGGAATAGAGATGATTTTTTTAAAAAATGCACCGATTCCAAAGCTCAGGTATGCCCTCCAAGATTAATAACCAGCTTCCAAATGTTGATTTTGTTTCATGTAACTAGATATCGTTTTTGCAGATTCTGATGCCTGAATAATTTTAAGAAACTTTTTTTTAATCTTACAATCTATTTATCTTATAAATTCATCTAATGAATATAGTTTTAAAAGTATTGCACCAATACAAGCATGGGAAAGCATTACCTACTTTAATATTGTCTATTTAACTGAGTCAATGCTATTTTAAGCCTTCTAACTCTGGCTATAGAGCCTAAGCTTAAACATGCTCCAATGATGCTAAGTCTTTCTTCAGCAGGAATGACCAAGCAAAACAAAGCTAGAGAATGTAAAACACTAACCAATATATTGGCAGCAATGACTTCTGGATCATCACAGACAGATTCCACAAAAAAAACCTACAAAAGAAAAAATGAATTTTATTTTGTAAAATACAAAAATTCTGGATTCAGGATAAGAATTTTGTTTTGTCAAGAACTGTCTTTCTGCAGAAATAATTTGTTCATGGCTGCATTGCATACCAAGATGTGGGAGGTCAAAGAAAACAGTGAGTGGAACCAGACCACAAATGGGCGCTGTCCTATCTTTATAGTACTATCCTCTTTCGCTCTGTGTCTCTGTCTCTCTCTTTCTCTTTTCTCTCATTTCTCTTTCATCCTCATTTCCCTCTGTTCCATCTTGCAGACTGCAAGAAAAGGGACAGAATGTATGAACTGGTTGCTTCTAAGGATTTTTGAAACTGAACCAAAGTTCACCTTTGACTAGAAGGTGAGGATTTTCAACTAACACGATATGACCAAATGGATCTTTTTAAAATGTGATAAAAATCCAAACAACTATACGATCCCAAAATGCATCATTTCATCATCTGCATATTTAACCTGCCAATAATCAACCATTAAAAATGCACAGCAATATATTTGGAACATATTTACAAAAATTCCTGTATGATCAATTTAGGGTTGCTTGCTGACTCAGAGGTATAGCACAGCTTGTGCTTTGGAAAAGACTGGTCAATTTACTGCTGGAATTTGTCTTAGCTACTTTGTCAAATATGACTGAATGCTGGACATAAAGTCAGGCGAATAGAAAAAAGGTTGATGAAGCTAAGGTACTTATTTATTTTGTAGAAGTAACAAAGTTTGTTTATTTTCAGAAATCCATAAATGGGCACATAAGATTGCCTATGGCAAAAGTACCTTTTCATTTGGCAAAACAAAGTTAAAGCAAAAGACAAATGTCCATTTTCAGCATCCTGGAATCATTTGATTGCCATTTGTATTTGTCTCTGACTTTATACTAGAACAAAGTTGCAACAAAATGTCCCAAAAGAGCTTTTTTCCAAAAAGCAACTAGACTTTTTTCCCCTTCATCTCTGAAGAAGCTTCTTGGATGAGAAGTGAAATGTCATCAAGGAAAAAACAAAGTCCAATTGCCTTTTGGACAAAAGCACTTTTGGGACAACCATGACCTGGATGACTGAGAATCTCCATAGACATTTTGCAACAAAATAATCACCTTAAAAGAATTTTCTTTGGCAAAAGCTAAAATCATATCCCGTCTTTCTCGTGTTGTGTTGGTTGCATCAAAGACCTGAACAAAAAGCACAAAAGAGAGATGGGTCATGTTGGAAGTGACATATAATCTGTCCCTGCACTTATGACCATCCCAGATCCTCATGTTTACAAGATCAAAATGTAGACATTTGACAACTAGCATGTATTTATGAAATTTGCAGCATCCTGGGGTGTGTATGATTGGCATTTGGGATCTTCACAGGGGATTTCTGACAAGCAAAGTCAATATGGGAAGCTGGATTCACAAAACCAATATGGTGATTCGTTTAACAACTGCACAGAAAAGGCCATAAAATCAAGTGCAACATATAATAATTGTATTAATTTGTGATAGAAGTTCTGGTTCCAATTGCGGTCATAAACTGAGGACTATCTGCAAACCTGCAAGGAGAAAGAATTCCACAATTAAGTCTGGCTTCAAGATCTGGCACACCTGGACTGTTCCAGTCTTACCATCCCAGCAAAGCCATGGCTGATGTCTGGCCAATACTTCTTTTAAAAAATTAGGTTTAGAGCTCTGAGCATCTCATCTGGATCCTTCAGATGATACTGAATTATAAATCAGCCAGAGAAGCCAAAGTTGAGGGTGCTGGGAGTTGTAATTTAACAGCATCTGGAAATCCAGCTTCCCATCCTTGCAGCATGTCCCAATGATCAGGTGTGCACTTACAGCAATCTGGCCAGACTCTTCCATGAGATAAACTTTCACATCTTCAAGGGCCACCAAGGCACATTGTCTGAAAAAAAGGGAGGGAGGGAGGGAGGGAGGGAGGGAGGGAGGAAGGAAGGAAGGAAGGAAGGAAGGAAGGAAGGAAGGAAGGAAGGAAGGAAGGAAAGGATAATTTAATGAGAACTCAAATCATCCAAAGTAATCAATCAGTTTCATTGTTATAATTTTATCTTGCTCATGCACAACACTACCGAAGTTAAGTTCAGGTAACCCTGACAAAACACAAATAGGGTCAATTAAATTTTTAAGCTGTCTAATTCACAATTTAAAGACCATTCACCATGGACATGAAAAAAACTTAACCATGAACAGCAAAGAAAAGAATTTATGCCATCTAGTGGTGGAAGTAAGCAATTGGTAATCTAAAAGTATTGTATATAAATTGTGAGGAAAAAAACCAAATTAAGCTATGCTTAATATTAAAAATACCTAACAATGAATAAGCAAAAAATAGGTTGAGTGATAGGATTAACCAAAATATCATACGCATATCTGCAAGTTTTAAAAATCTACACAATCTATCAGCATCAGCAGGACAATGTGAAACATGCCAGATGCTATGTTTAGGAGCAGCTGATTTTATAAGATGTAATTAATAAATATAGGAGAAGTCTTTCTCTGACATTGTGGTTGCTTCTAATAAAGATATTAATTGAGAGCCAGTTTGGTTAGTGATTAAGGCACTAGGCTAGAAACTGGGAGACTGAGTTCTAGTCCTGCTTTAGCCAGCTGGGAGGCCTTGGGCCAGTCACACTTTCTCTGCCCGACTCACCTCACAGGGTTGTGGTTGTAAAGAAAATAGGAGGAGAAAAGTGTGTTGGATATGTTTGCTGCCTTAGGTTATTTGTAAAAATAGTAAAGGCGGGATACAAATTAAATAAACAAAATAGGTATTAATCAGCTATGCTGACAACAAGGGTAGGACTTTGAAATAGAAAGACCACTCCTTAGAAACCACATCCCTTGACATCATTCATTTCCTCTTCGATTCCCAGTTTCCTTCAAAGAGATAAAAGTAAGTGGAAAGCTCCATTATTTTGCCCTTGGATGGCCCTTCACTTTTGAAGACAAGAGGCCACATGCAGACAAATCTAGTGACACAGTTGAAGAACAACTATGGCTGACAACTGGATGAGAGTCAGATGTTCAAGGAGGAGGAAGGATTTACTTTGGTCTGCAGGCTAAAGCCCAAAGCATTTGAGGCTGCCTATTTTTCAGCTGAAGAAAAGAATTTATTACTACCTGAATTTTGCACTTTGAAGATGCCAACTATGCCATCTCTCTCTCTCTCTCTCTCCCTGTGTGTGTATGTGTGTGTGTGTGTGTGTGTTACCATTATTCTGTCACACAAACAGAAACTGTCACATTTCCTGGCAGTGAGAACAACTGATTAGTGGAATGGATTTCTTCCAGAAGTTGTGGGTGCTCCATCACTAGAAGGTTTTTAAGAAGAGATTGGACATCAATTTGTTCAAGATGGTATAGGTTCTCCTGTCTGAGCAGAGGGTTGGACGAGAAAACCTCCAGTGTCCTATGTGTTAGGTTTAACACTGCCTCCAAAGAATTAAAGACAAATTAAGATTTCTTCACACAAAGCAAGCTTAAATAATTCCCTAACATAGTCTGTGACATACCCAACAAATATCTCAGCATAATACACAACAAGAGAAGACTATGGTCCATGGAAGGTTATGCTGTGATAAACATTTCAGTTTAATTCAGTTTAAATCAACCATTCTTTTTCTTCAGCAAGCCACCAGCCTCTAGAAATACACGAGCTCATCATTTCTGGCCTAAACTGTTTAGGAGATGTTGATTTATGGTAGTGGTTTGAATCAGGTCTAGTGGTCCCACTTGGCTTGAAACTGCACAACCCAAAAGAAACTACAGAAAACTTTTCATTTTGGCTTTCCATATTACCACACACTCTTGCTTCTCTCTTTGCTGAAACAGGATGTTTTGTAACACACCCAAGTTTCTGCTGGTCTGTGCTGTACAGTAATTGGATATATTGCAATGCTTGCAGATTTCTGTATCTAAAAGTTACCAGCAAGCACAGAGCTTTTAAGAATGTGAAAAGCCTGAGAGGAAAATGTTCCTTAGAACTCTTCACATCCCACTTCTTGCTGCGGTCTAAGACTATGTATTTTTTCTCTCCACTGTTTTTTGTTTTGAAATCAACAACAAACTGTCCTTATATCTTAAGTGAAATACAAGTCTTAAGTTCACTTCTCAAGTTCTGTCATAAATAAAAAATATTGATCCATTGAAGTATTTGAAATATTAAGTGCTATGTCAGATGCATCTCCTCCTTTCTCTTTTTTCTTGGCCCTATTAGCAATAGATCCTATTCATTTCTGAATTGTGAGGCTGAAGGACTTCCCCAGAGGAAACACTAAAATGAAGAATACAGTGTGTGACTTTATCTGTGTTGCTATCATATTGTTGAAGCATGGTTGCTTGTTAATTTGAAGAGCTACTCCCAAAACAACTAAGATCCAGTCTATGGAGATTCTCAGTCATTCAGGTCATGGTTGTCCCAAAGGTGCTTTTTTTCATGAGGCACCTCAACTTTCTGGTTTTTCTCTGAAGACGTCTCGCTTCTCATCCAAGAAGCTTCTTCAACTGGATGAGAAGCAAAACATCTTCAAAGAAAAACTAGAAAGTCCAGTTGCCTCTTGAAAAAAGCACCTTTGGGACAACTAAGATCCAGGTTTTCCTGAGTAAGGCTCAAATTTAACCCAGAAGTTCTCAACCTTTGCGCTACAGATATTCCTCAACATATTTCAAAATTGGGGCCAGAATTTTGGTCGCTGAGTGATGCAGTAGTTAACAGAGTCATCATGTGACTGGACTGGACCCAATTTGATTACCATTTTTACTGCAGCTGTTAAATGAAACACTTGGTTGTTAAGTGAGTCACACAATCATTAAGCAAATCTGGCTTTCCCAATTGACCTTGCTTATTGAAAGTCTTCTGGGAAGATCACAAATCACAATCACTTGATCCTAAAATGCTGCAACAGTTATAAATGTGAGTCAGTTGGCAAGTGCAGTTATGCGAATGTAGGGATGGCACAACTATCGTAACTTTGAGGACAGGTTGTAAGTCACTTTTTCCAAAGCCATTATAACTTCAAACTACCATTAAATGAACAATTGTTAAGTCAAGAATTACCTGGACTGCAGTGTCCTAAAATGATAAATATATTTTCTGATTCTAAATAATAAATCAGGAAACTAAATAATAAATCATAAAACTAAGTAATAAATAATACTGTTCAGATTGGTATCTGATTTATTAATAACATTTTAATATACAACTCCACATAAACCTTCAGCAGTTTTTAAAACACTCCATGGTTCATTAAGACAATAAAGCAAATCCATATCTCCTAAACCCCTTCCACATCCATTAAAAGCTCCACAGAGAAGTTAACTGTTTTTGACCTATTGCTATAAGCCATCTAGAATCACTCAAATACACAGCATATAAATAATTGAAAATAAATAAAAAAAATTCTCCTGGAAATTTGTTTCATAACTAAACAGCCTTGAAATTCCATGCTAACAAAATAACACAGGATATATAACTAACTATAAATAAATAGAAATAGTACTAGAAAAGTTTATTGTTAGTTGGAAGCACTAAATTAAAAGCAGAGTAAAGAAATATATTTTACATTGGAATGATGAGACTTTTTTATTAATGATTTCAGCAATGTTTGAAACTTTTCTTCTCTTCGCTGAAATATTTTTATTTTATCCCTTATTTTAGGAATCTTTTTTCTTTTAATCCCTTTGCTTCTCCCCCCCCACCCCAAAAAAAAAAAATTCAAAGATTTAGAAATGTTATGTTTTAACCTTTATTATCATTGTCCATATATATACAACAAAATTGAATTAGCCTCTACTGGTGCACAATCCATAACAAAATACAAAACAACATGAATAATATAGAAAATGGTCCTTATACAAGTAATTAGGGAGAAACCAGTCATATGTTTCCATGTATGCATGGAGTGATTGTAATTACTGTGATTGTAAATTATAATCATTGCGCAATCCTATCACTGATTACTATAATATTCAGTATTTAAGAAAGTGAGCATCTTCATCAAATTTTCAAATTATCTTAGTGAATTCTATAATTAGCAATATGAATTGGTTCAAGCATATTTATTATTTAGCAAACACTTAACATGTAGTTAATGTTAACTTACTTTCTAATCCTCATGGCTTCTTCATTATCGTGTCTGAAGAAATCATATGATTTATATGATCTAACTGCTTCACGACGATAAACCCCTAAATTAAAAACTTTTTAAAAATCATGAAATTTAGTTAGTAATGTTTCATAGTAAGTATTATCTAATTGAGTAAATATATTCATTACACAACTTGTTCAATGTAAAATACATATATTTTAATAACTATATGCATTAAGCTAATGTCTGCACTATAAGTATAATTTTTCCCATTTAGTTATCATTGATTTAATTGGAATTTATACTGGTAATAAAAAGTTATCATATTACTTAACTTGTGCAAGAATTAATATTGGAATTGGAAACCTTGATTTATATTCTCACTAATTCATTGCGGGTCCTCAGCCATAAAATACAAATTCTCAATTTACAACAGTTCATTTAGTGACCATTCAAAGTTACAACAGCACTGAAAAAAGTGACTTATGACTATTTTTCACACTTACGACTGCTGCAACATCCCCATGGTCACATGATCAAAATTCAGATGCTTGGCAACTATTTAGGATGGTTGCAGTGTCTCAGGGTCATGTGATCCCAAGCAAAGCCAATGGGAACCAGATTCACTTAACAGCCACGCTACTGACTTAACGACTGCAATGATTCGCTTAACAATGCAGCAAGAAAGGTCATAAAATGGGGCAAAACTCACTTAACAACTGTCTCACTTAGAAACAAAAATTTGGGGCTCAATTGTGGTCATAAGTTGAGGACTACCTATCGTATGAATTATATATATATAATTTTAGTCATAAACATTTTTGAGTACAGGTGTATTGTCAGGGTATACCATTTACAAGGGAAAAAAAAGGCCAAATAGAAAATAGTAATAAATATTAACACATAAACTAATAACAGTAATAATAATGTAACACATGTCTGAGAATAATAGTAATAATATAACCAAATAATTTTAAGTAAGTTTCTTTTTATATTGGCTTATTTACATTTTTGTTAATTATTATTGTAGTTATAAACCATCTCTATTGTTAATACAAACATTTGTAGTCTTTCTTCCTCTAATTTCTACCTCTTGTCTCTGTAGTATGAATTTTTGTGAACATCTCAGTTTCAGTTCCCCATTAACAAAATGGACAGAGTGATGACTCAACCCTCATTGTAAACAGCATGATGCTGGAAAAATTCAGTATTTAAAATTGTTTGATTACAAGAGGAGAAAATAAAAATGTTTAGCTTGATTCCTAAAATGTGCTATATTTTAAAATATAATTCTGATAAAAAGTGTGCTTTAAATTATAGCTCATTTTATATGAAAAACTTACCTATCCTGTCAATTGGAATCTGCAAGATTCCAATTAAGCAACAAAATCTGAAAAGCCTTACTATATCCTGCAGTGAATGAAATGTGCATTATTCATCTTAAATTAAAGGCCAATGACTATAAAATAAGAATCAATTTGGTATCTAACTGCTAATTATTTATATCTTCTCTTCCCTTTTTTTCAAGAACTATATTTGGTGAACAAGATTAATACATCATCTACTAAAATAACTAATGCTACATTATCTGAACATAATTCATATTGTGTTTGTTGTATGCTTATGAAAAATAAGCAAATTAGTTTTATTAATAATTATATATTCCAGATGAGAAACTGACAAGGACACATGCTGTCCTCAGTTTTCAAAGAATACCTTAAGGGATACATTGAGGGGGGGAAAAGATATCTGCTAAAATTGCACTTTTGAGTAATATTAATTAAAACTTCTTGGCTGGTGCTAAAACAGTTTCATTGTTGCGAAAAAAAGCAGTTCAGAATAATCAACAATTTATCCTGGATAAAGCTCAATGGATAATAGCTTTTAATTACATTCAATCAACCAAGATTGCATTTCTCTAACTTTTGGACCAGCTGCTTTGTCAGCTTCCTATAGATCAGTGTTTCTCAACTTTGGTAGCTTGAAGATGGGTGGACTTCAACTCCCAGAATCCCCCAGCCAGCAGCGCTGAGGTTGAGAAACACTGCTATAGATATATAGCTTATCCAGATGCATAATAATTATAGAATCAGATTTTTCAAACTAATTCAATCAATATATTATAAATGACAAGAGTAACAGGAACCTTTTGTAGGCACTCCAATCCAGTTGAGGTAGCGAGTTAATTTCTTGGATACATAAGTCTTGCCTCGTGCAGGAAGACCAATCATTACAATCAGAGTTGGTGAGTTAGTCATATAAGAGGCCCATGCTATAAAAAAAGGGAGAAGCAAATCAAAAGTTTCGAAAAGATGAAAAATAAAAAACATCCTTGAAAATGTTCACATTCAATTTTCTGTCCATACTTCAGGATATTATGTTCCTTTCCCAGAATCAATCAGTAGATTGTGGCATTATGGACTCCAGTGGTTGTTAATGAATGTGGCCGGCCAAATAAAAATAGCCAACCATGAAGGGCTTCAAATTGGATATAATATTTTTCCTTAAAATATTTTCCAATTAAAGAAAAATGTTTTTCAAACTTGAGTGGAAAAGGATAACGTACCTCCTGAAAATATAAATATGGAAAACTGAACTAATATTTTATTTCCCTTGGGTTGATGATAAACCAACTTTTATTACAGGTCCCTTAGAGAAATATATAATTTATATTAAGACACTGTTGTATGTTACTCAGAGTCATTTTTTGTGAGATGGTGGCCTTAAAAATGTGATTAATAAATGAATAAAATAAAAGATATGCTATTTGGTTTATAGGGCGGTGTGATGGCTGTGGTTAAGACACTGGGCTTGGCTTGTCAATTGGAAAGCCAACAGTCCTGAGTCAAGACCTGAGCACTGTGCAACATGGTGAACTCCTGTCCTCACCCTAGCTCTTGCCAATCCAGTAGTTTGAAAGCATGCAAAAGTGAATAGGTAAGTAGTTACCACTTTGGGAGGGAAGATAGCAGCACTCTGTGATGTCATGCTGGCCACATGACCATGGAAAATCTTTGGACAGTACTGGCTCAATGGCCTTTGAAACAGAGATGAGTACCACCCCCTAGAGTTCGCAATGACTAGTGGTGTAAAATTCACAGGGACTTTTTTTTAAAAAAAAATTGGTTTACACATTCATAAAAACATGGAGAGAGATAACTGATGGTGTTGATGGAAAATTGTTTAAATTTTCTTGATTTTTATTTCTTATCCTTTACTGTGCTTTGCATAATGTTGCTTAACCCAAAATGGAGTAATGTGATGGTATGTGCATATGTAAAAGATACTTGCGACTTTCAGTATGTACTTTGTTATGCCCAGTAGAGTAGGGATCATGATTACAGATATGCAACAGACACACTTTATTGATATTTTTCCAAACATTGCAAGCTCCACTGAGTAATATAATGCAAAACTGTATGACATGTATAGATATATATTATTGCATAGGGTCAGACATTCTCTGACATCTCTTTTTTTAATCCTTCCACTGCCAAATCCCCTCTTTTTGCAGCCCAACAAGCTTGCTAGAAATCTAAACTGATAATTTGCTGAGACTGAGTCAAAAACTGGATTGCCCATTCTTACTGAAGTTCAGGGGAAACTAAATCACATGGGTGCTGATATTTTACAGAGATAATATGATTAAATCCATTTCTGGCTAAAATCTAAAGCTGCTTTACTGGTTTCTAAAGTTCAACTGGCCTCTCAAAATAAGATGTTGCCTGTAAGCTTGTTCATTTTATAAATTCTTTTCTAAATAGTAATTATTTGCCCTAGCAACATTTTCCCCAAGTTTAAAGACATTGGACTGTAATATTAAAAAAAAAATAGCTACATTAGATTGTGAGCTTCATAAAAACCAGAATGAAAGTTTCAAGAAAGGAAATCTTGTTTGGAAATTTGTCTTCCTTTCACTCATGTTCAGCAAAATAACTTCCCTATCTCTGGTGTAAAAAAAAAAAAATAGCGGGCTAATAAAATGAGCAAAGAACTGTCAGAAAAAAACAGATTTATTGAAGGCTTATTTGGAGGATTTGGATGAACCAAATTTAGCTTTAATGTTACAATTCTAAAATATTAAAGACAATAGGAGACTATCTAGCCATCAGTAACCAATTGAAAAAGAGGAATACAATTTAGCTGAAATGGATGCTTTGTTGAAAAATGAAATGTTGTTTCTAATTTCAGCCTTCAAAATACTAAAAAGTAACAATAAAAGCCAACTCACACAAAAAAGATATGATATTCACCAGCAGATATGATATTCATAGTGAAGTGCAACGTAACAGATATTGTGCAGCAGGACACAATACAACCAGTTGTAATTAAGAATTATATTATATTCCCAAAAAGAAACAAATCTCTTCCCTTAAAAGTCAAAATGAAAGACAAGTTCTAGATTGTAAGTAGATTTGGAAGCTGATGAATAGGGAAAAGAAAGAAGGTGAAAGAAGCAAAAGGAGAATAAAGGTCCTTATCCTAATCTATTTCACTTGTAATCAGAAAATAGGAGAAGCAAAAAATTACTTATTTTGGAGGGAGAGAGGAAGGCATTTATTTTACTGGTGCTAGAGGAATGGAACATATATTTTCACTATTGGAAGTGCTGTAACCAAGGAGAGAAGATCAAACACAGCCCAAGTAAAAGAAACCAGGCAGTCATTCTCCATATTGTTTTGCTACTCAAATGTCAAATAAGGTAGGATTCTTGAAGTAAAACATGTCAGGGGCATTTAAATTCTTTGAGAAAGAACATCCAAGATATAATTTAGTTAAAACAATTGCTCTCCTAGCAAAAATAAAACTAGTAAAACTATTTCCAACTACTGATATATAAAGTAAAAACATCCCAAAACACAGAAAAAAATCTACCAATAAGCGATGTGAGCATTTCATCTAATTGCAAGACAGCTATGCATTTGGTTTACAAGATAGTTAACTGAAGACATCCTGCCTGACATTAGCTGGGTTTAATAAACTGTTTAATAAATCAGCATGACTTATCTGCATCAAGCACATTACTTCTTCCCTAGCTTTTTCCAATTGAATTTTTTTGCAATTGAAATATATTAAAATCCTGAAAAATCTACATTAAAATATCCTAAAACTGAGGCTATTCATATTTTTTTCATCAAAATATTGTGCATTTGTCACAATCATTAAAAATCTCCTGGATACTTAAATTCCACAGCATATTAAAAAGCCTTTGTCAAACATTCTAAAGGAACACAACTCTTCAAAGTGGGGAGGAACTACTTCCACAGACATGCAGCTGCAAAAGTAAATATTTTCCATTCTGTTTCCACTTCGCTATTCCTTCAAAATGGTACTAGTAAGTTTACCATTAACCTAGTAGCATCTCCTTCTTTCATAGCATACCCAAGTAGCCTGTCAATGTGTGCTGCCTTGAGTCAGTTTTTGACTTCTGAAGACTGCCTGCAATAGTCCCTGCAGTTTTCTTGGCAAGTTTTTTTCCAAAAGTGGTTTGCCATTACTTGCTCCCTAGGGTTCAGTGAGAATGACCATCTGAAAGTCACCCAGTTGATTCATTCTAGATCTAAGGCAGGACTACAACTCATGATCTCCTGATTTTTAGCCTGGTGCCTTAACCACTATACCAAACTGGCTCTCCACCCAGAAGCCTACATGAGTCTTATCTCACCTATCATGTTTTTCATTCTTAGATTAACCCTATGATCTTAAATGAATGATTATCTTGAACATCACTGAATGGGAGCCCCAATCTATATGTGGATTCAAACCAGGATCTCCCACTTTTAAGACAGCAAACCTTTATTTTGCACAAGCATTTTGTAAAATGGAAAACCTTGAGATCAAAGCTTTTGGGTACTGAACCAGGATTTAAATATGCCAAGTAGCTTAGTCTCCAGATATCAATAGTTTTGCCTCAAAAAAGAAATCACCCCTCTGTTCAAGACTGTGATCAAAATGATCCTAACTGAATTTTTCTCTCTTCCAAAAAATATCACAAAGCAATCACAAATACTCACAACATTTCTTCTCCGAAACTCTATTTGAAGGCTTGCTTTCTTGGCTGTAACTGTTACCATTTATGTTGTCTGGGATGGCAACAGCATCTGCTGACATTGCTGCAAGGCACACAATTCCTCAGTTTTGGATCACCAAATTCCTTCTAAGGACACACAGGGGGTTAAAAAAAAGAGGTTGTGAAGTGTGAAATTATTTTCTAGAGAGAAAAGAAATAATAGGCATAGTCTACTCTATGAGGTTCCTTCTTGCTGGGATCCCCACCCTCCTCCAGAAAAAGAATCTACATAAAAGTTCTTAGTCAAGGTCAACACAAGAGAGAATCTTCTAATAATTATAATTTTCCCACAAGGCAAAATATAATCCTGCATGAATGTAAATATGAAGGGGGGGGGGAATTAAATACGAAGAACGTAGTCCTCAAAGGGAAGGAATAACGATGCCCTACATCTTCGTTTACAGCCTTATTCTCTCGGGGTAGGAATCCTCCTTCAAACTCGGCACGAAGGACCGCGGCGGAGATGCCACGCGACTACTGATCGAGATCGCCGCCCACTCTTCGGTCACTCCGTCTCCGGTCCTTTCTCCCGGTCCCTGCAGGCATACCTGCGAAATTCAGCACGCCCGCGCCGGGGACAGCAAGGCCAAAGTCTTGGGCGGACGGGCGAGCGGAGCAGATCCAGTCCGCAAGAGAACCTTCCCGGGAGCGCAGCCAAGCCACGGCCAGGTACCCGGGCGCAGGTGACCTTGTTCCCTCCCAGGCGGTGGGCGGGCAGAGGGTGGCAATTCTTCGGAGATGCGGCTATGCCAAGCGGCGTGAAGGCCAAGCAGAACAATGCCGGATACGCCAAGACAAGTGACGCAAAGGAACTCAGAAAAGAGGCAAAAATGTCTAGGTCAATGGGAACCGGATTCATACCTGTATTCGAGGCTGCATGAATGGAGACTGCAAATGTATTTTACCAAGAGAAACACTATGCGGAAATACCCCTCGCAGAGGGTTTAAACACCCAGGTATGTATGTGTGTTGTATGCATGCATGCATGCATGCATGTATGTATATGTGCTTGTCACGTATTGGCTTTCATTCACTATGCGACACTTGACGTCCTTTGGTAATATTCGCTTCCTAGTTTGAACTCAAAAAGCAATCCGTGGATGGGGACAGGTGTTCCCATTCACGAAGTCGTGTGTTTGAATGCTTAGAACGAAAGTCAAAGCGAAATTATTCCGTTGTCCTTTGGAAAAGAGGCCACCAGAAAAACCCAAAGCGGTCGACTTGGCTGGGGAAGTTAAGAAAACACTCCGGAAGAAGGCAATTGCGAATTACTTCCGTACTGTTGCCAAGACAAATGTACCGACACGTCCCTACAGCCGCCAGACGTTAAGACTCACTGGAAGGAGGCTTTAATTTTACGCATGCGCAAAGAGGCGCCTCAGCGGTAGCTGCAGCTACCGAAAAGTTAAAGCTTCAAGAAAGTGGGCGGGCAAAGGCGGAGCCTGGGTTGCGTCACACCCCCCGCAGCACTAGCGTCAGTTTTCTGCGCAAGCGTACTGACAAAAAGCGCCACGAACGGATGTTTATCCTGATCCTGCCGGTGAGACTCCTCCCGCGATTCTGATTGGCCTCTCAGGCAATTGTGCATGCCAGGAAGATGTAGAAGCGACCAATAAGGAAGCCCAAAGGGAAGGGCTACGGGGGTTGCCTGGCTGCCGGGAGTTGCAGCCATTTTTGCTGCAGGGAGGCGGGGAGGGGGGGGGGCGGCTGTTAAATGAAGCCCGGCCGCCCTCGGCAGGATCGCTACAGATCAGGCAGCGATCATGTTGCGGCTGCGTTGTAAAGCGCGGAGTGGGTCCTTTCCGCTTCCCGGCCTCACGGCGCATTCACGTCTACACGAACTCCAGGCCGTGATCGCTGCCCTCACCGGTGTCCCCATCCAGGCCCAGCGCCTGCTGCTCGGCTTCCCCCCCTCGTGCCTCGACCTCAGTGATGTAGAGCAGCGCCTCGGAGAGCTGGGCATTCATTCGGGTAAGCGGAAGGGTCTTGCCCGGGCCCTTAGGCCGTTCCCGGTGAGCGTTGGGTCTCGCCCCCCTCCCATCACGAGGTGCCTCTCTACAGAATGGGGGAGATCTGGAAGTGGCTTCCAGTCCTGCTCTGCTGTTGTGCTTTCTGGGAGTCGAACCAGGAACCAGCTCTTCAGTTAAAATTGTGGGACGAAATCTTTTCAGTCCAGGTCATTTAATTCGGTGTTTTCTGAATGAAGGACATGGGATTGAACGGTGACCTTATAATTGTTAAAAAAGGAAGAAAAATGCTGAATACATAGAAATGAGGAGAAGCCGCTTTTAGCCTGTAGAAATCTGGCTTCGTTGTTTATGCTAGGATGCAGTTGATATGTATTGAATGCAGGTTCATGTCTGGTAAGAATTGAAATTGAATATCTTTTCTCCTAGGAAAAATAGTTCTCCTGCTTGGTAATAGTCCTCTTTTTTATAGATATATTTAAAGATGTGCTTCTCAAGAAGAAAGCTATCTTTAAGATATTTTCTCTTTGTCATAACAGGAAATTGCAAAGCCATGACACAAATGTTTTGACATTTTATATTTGTCTACATTTGGAAGCACCCATCAATTATATTCCACAGTTTTGCTCCTGTGTGAAGCATAGCTCCCCTGTCTTTGGGAAACAAGATTGCTATACTTTGTACTCTCCTGTATCTTTCTAATGAATGTGAATTTTTTAATATGGAAAATATGTCCAGATTAACTCAATTGTTCATTCACAGGTATTTTTTTTCTTGGTGAAATGGGCTAGGTAGAGTTTGGTAAAGAAATTTGTGTTATAAAATTCTGTAAGATATATTCTTTATTCTATTGGCTACAGAAGTAATATATAAGAATTCACTCATTAGATTTTTTTCTTCCTTCGGAAAGCCTTATAAAGACATTTTTATTGCTTGCCTCCAACTATCTCTAATGTTAATGATTGCACCTGATTTATATCTAGTTCCAAGTATGAGGACTCCCTATTTTGAGCAGATGTTAGACTAGCCAATCTCCAAGATCTCTTCCAACCGTATGATGAATAACTTCATAGTATTTTCTTTGATGAGTGAAATACTTCATATCATTACAGTAATCACTGCAGCAATAGGAATATTATAGCCATATGACATACTGAAGGAGAGATACCTGAAAGAACCATGATAGAATCATAATATAATGTTATTGCTTTGTTCTATTTTTTTTTCTTGACAGGTGATACTCTAATAGTTGAAGAAGATGCAACCAAGCCCAAGACTGATTCATCTATAGTTACAAAGCGGACTGTTCCTAATTCAGTTAGAGAAGCTGTTCCTGTGCTTGCCCGAAAGGTGGTTCCAGCTGACAACTCATGTCTTTTTACCAGCATATATTATGTAGTAGAAGGTGGGGTTTATGAACCAGGCTGTGCCCCAGAAATGAGAAATCTCATTGCCCAAATTGTAGCAAGTGACTTGGAATCCTATAGTGAGGCAGTCCTAGGAAAAAGTAATCAGGAATACTGTGACTGGATCAGAAGAGAAGATACATGGGGAGGTGCAATTGAGGTTTCTATTTTATCTAAATTCTATCAGTGTGAAATTTGTGTAGTTGATACCCAGACAGTCAGAATTGATCGTTTTGGGGAAGATGCTGGCTATGCTAAACGGGTGCTTTTAATTTATGATGGTATTCACTATGATCCACTTGAGCGTAAAATTCCCAACTCAGACGTTCCTCCCCAGACAATTTTTTCCACAACTGATGACATTGTCCTTGCACAGGCTTTGGAATTAGCAGATGAAGCCAGAAGAAAAAGACAGTTTACTGATGTAAATCGGTTTACATTGAGATGTATGGTTTGTCAGAAAGGATTAACAGGGCAAGTGGAAGCCAGAGAACATGCCAAGGAGACGGGACACACCAACTTTGGAGAAGTGTGAATTTTTTGTGAGGTTGGTCATGTTTACTACCTCACTGATCCAGAACAAGCCTCCAGATTATTAAATAAGCTATATGTAATGTTACAGATTCGTTCAAAGTTTGAAAGCCCTAAATTTAATTATGGCTGATATGCACAGGGTTGCAGTTGATAGTGTAAAATGTTTACAAGAGTGCATGCAGTGGTGTCATATTTTCCAATTATCTTGGAGTATTCTTTTGCACAACTAAGAACTAGAGATAACAACTGATACCAACAGGTGTATCAACTCTTGAAAAAGAATCTGAGCAGCTGCTGAAAGAATTTCTCTAACACAACTGAATATATACATTGCTGTAGCTAGCTAGGCCTGCATCAAGGACTTTAGATGAAATAAAAATTTCAGCTCCAGTACTGGATTTTTGATTCTGGAATCTATGAAATAGTTAAGCTGGTTCCATTCATATCTGAAAAAATTACTTGTACCTCAGTTTTGTTCATGTGACGTGTATGTTTTTGTAATTTAAAGCAGTAATCCCAAAGTTATCTTATTTGAAATTGCTGATTTGGAAAACTGTGTATAAAAATAAGGAATGCGAGTTACATTTTCAGCAGTGTTAGAAAGTAAAGTTACTAATAAATTTGGATAATTCCATAGTGCCTAATATACCAGTATACATTAATTATATTTTTTAAAGGGTATAATCTGTTGGGGTGTTAATATGTATAAATAATAGGGCCTTCAAAATTGTAACAAATCCAGCAATATGAATCAGTGTATTCATCATATGGATAAATAATATATTGTAGCTATAATATTTCAAGGGGAAGCTGTTTCATAACATCAGATTGTTAAATTTAATGTCAAACCTTAGGGCAGAGTGGTATGTTTCCAAATTGTCCCCTTTTCTAAGTATTGCAGTGTCCCTGATAACAATCAAATTATTCTCTTTGAAAGTAGTATATCAGAGAAAATCTTCAGATGTGGATACACTGGAGGTAGAGGAAGGGAGGACAAGGTAATTGCCAACTGGACTGGTGCTTCATATTAAAAACAAAATTTAGCGACCTGCATCCAAAATCACAAAGTGTTGGCTATTGGAAACCATTGCACTCTGGTCTGATTTGTTACATAACTTCCGTGCACACATCCTTTCACTGTTGTAGCTCTTAACTGAAAAACTCATTCACTATTGTAAGCCTTATAAGAGTGTGTGTGTGTGTGTTGCATACATAAACACAAATGCTGTTTGCTAATAAGACATGTTTTATGAATAATATGGTTTGCATGTGGTAGAAAAGTTATACTTAATCTGAGGGGTTTTGTAGGCAGTAGAAAATGTATTGGGATTATCTGAATTAAAATAATTTACAAGTAAATTTAAAAGGAAAGGCTTTAGCATTTGAGAGAAAGGGGGAAATTAAAATGTGAGATTGTAATGATGTGTGGTGATCAAAACTGGTTTAATGCATGCTGACTTAGAAATAATTCAAATTATCAGAAAATGGACGTGGTTTAGCAATTTAGTTGCCGTCAGTGAAATAGGCATTAGGAAATGAGTAATTTGGATCTAAACATCTAATATTTCTTGGCACCAAATGATATACTTGTACCTTTTTTAGGTCCCAAATGAATGCTTGGTTAATTGCTTTTTCCATTTATTTTTAATGTAACATGACCTATAAAATTTCAATCAGGCATAGGCCGGGTCTCATCTCAACGAAGTTTGCTTTAGTGCAAGGATTTGCAACTTTGTGGGGCTTATGGATATATTTGGAATCTTGAGAACCAAGAATATAGTTGCAAAATGGCTGCCAGGGAGGGTTTCTCCAGTTTACAAAATGATAGCTATAGGGAAGTTAAACATCAATTTACCTGAACTTACACATACAACAGACCCCCCCCCCCCCAAAAGTAAGAACTATGTTGCAGTAGCACATTAGTTTAAATATTTTTAAGAAAGATTATAATGGTATATTGCTTTGCAGTAAATCTGGTTCCCATTAAAAATAAGATTATTTTTTAAAGATGTATTGTAAAATACAGGTGTGTCAGGAAAGGTGTGTCAGGAAAGCTAAATGAATGAGATACAACTAGGCTATGTAACTTGTCAATATTCAGATTTGATTTGAAGTTCCTGATCTGAAGTTAAAGATTTGGACCTAATTTAATGTGCTGACAGTCAATGTGAAAATGCACTTTTTAATCAATTCAGAAATCAAGAGTGAATTTGTAACTGACCAATTCTGGCATGCTGTACTTAAGGTATTTTAGGTTTTTTTCAGTGACTTGTAACACTTAACACAGTACAACTTAAAGACTTTTTTTGTATTTGAATCAGATATTTTGAGTTAGTTTCTGCTCTTGTATACTGAAAAAGTTCTCAGTCTAGAAACATCAAAAGAGATCTGCAATCACTCATTTCCCCATATATAATGGGTTAAATAACGTAACTAAATTGTAGGTCTTAAATGGAAAACAATACTAAATTAAATTAAATGTTGATTTTAAGAAAGGGGATATGCACATCTGCTCAGAGTAAACCCCAAAGTGGTGGACTTCCAGGAAAGTCTGTTACAACTACACTAGCTAGTTTAGAGATATTAAGGATAACTCAGTTAAGACTAATAAAGTGGTACTTTTGCCAAAAGCCTTAAATGAAACAACTGCAATTCTACTTGTTACAGTATAGGAAAATGTTACCAAACTCAGTAATCTGCATGCTTTTATTGGCCAAAAAGACTATTAGACAAGAATATTATAGTAATTTAAAGTTCTGCTTTAAATAATGAGAATAAAAAGTATGGGAAATAAAACCATTTTACAATTAATATTGATACTGATCTCTTTAAAGTCTAAAATAAGGTTAGTTGACCTTAAAATCCTGTACATATATACTTGGACATAAGTAGACACTGGAGATTGCTTCTCTCTATCAGAGACACGCACACAGACAAATATGACTCTATTCAAGAATTTTGTATGGCTCAGTTGCCAAATATGGTTTGACAAATAGGGTGTAATTTATACAAAACATGGATGTGTAATATATTAAGCATTTAATCTGTAGCCATATATCTACATTTACGTGGAAAAACATGATTGAAATTAATAAGACTTAGAGGAAGAAAAGATGTATTCCGAGACTTGAATATATTAATACACTAAGGCCTTTAAACCTTGTGGTTTGGGAGGAGAAATCATATTTGTTCATAGACTGGCTGAGATTACAGTTAAACCTAGATACTGTATTAATCTCATTTTGTTTGCTGTAGAATTGATTACATGCACTTATCAAAGGTGATGAGAAACTGACCTGTTTATATTTCATTTAAGCAAAGGTGCTAAGAGAAGCTTATTTTGTATATTGTGTTCTATTAAATATTTTTAATTTTAGAGTGTACTTTTTGCATTTTTGCTTTAAGGTTTGTCTGGAGACATGGGTTTAAATCACACTAGTTCACTGCAGATTATTGTAATAAGTAAAATTTAAGTATTCCTATTTTACCATCAGTATTATAATTTTTAATTAAAATATTTTAATTTTTAAAATATAGCACAAGTTAGTTTTTATTGAACTATTGTCATAAATATGTTTCTCTACAGATGCGCACATACACATATAAAGATCATTAGTTGCACTGAAATACATTCAAGAACTAAATGTTTATATAAAATAAATCCTTGGTGGATTTAGAAAGAAATAAAAACAAATGTAATTTGACATGTTTCATTTAAATGGTGGTTATCTGATATCTTGTAAATTTGGACAATACAGAATATTATTTCCTTTTGTTTAAGTATGAAGATGGTATATTTTGGTACCAGATTTGGATTACTTTTTATCCTTGATAGCTATAAAAAGAAAGTCTTTTAAGCTGGTAAACATATTTTGCGATAATGGGTTGTAATACTTAAACATTATGATTTTCTCTCTATTTTAAAATGGCTACAAAACTACATTGGATGATTGCTAATAGAAACATGTAATAATCCAAATGATTTCTTATGTTACTTCTTAGCTTTTTTCTAGCAGTGTTAAAATTAATATTTTTGTTGTAGAAAGAAATTCTAGTTCTCCACATCTAAGTTAACTGGGAGATGAAATTTCCTGTTACATCATTTATTTTATAAAGGAACCTATTTCTACATTATCTTTAAAAACTTATTTGCACCTTCTTATGGGTATAGAAATCAATTTATATGAACTATCTGGGAGTAGAAGACTAATATCCATTTTTTGTTCTGGTGTCAACTTAAATGTATATATACAGTTTAATATCCTTAAAAGTATCACTAACTTTAAAATTCTCAGAAATTGAGAATAGAGTGCAATTCGAAAAGTGACAAACGATAACTACTATATAGTAGTTCTATAGTATTACTTGATTGGATTAAATGTTGAAAATGGGTTCCAAAATTTGCATATCTGATAACAGCACCAGCATTAACATTCAGAAATGTGAAAATGTATGTTTTAGCATATGGCCTTTTGTATACTTTTAGATGAGATCAGTGTATCAAATGCAGCACTTTAAAAGCTTGTCAATCATGGTTTATAAGTTTAGTGTGCTTTACGAAGGAATTAAATGGGTGCATTTTTTTTTTGTAAATTGGCATACGTTTTAAAAACATCTAATTTAATATTTTTCAGTGGTACCACATATTGCAACAGTATTTCATGGAAATACATACTGTATATGTTCTGTTTAACATGCTGTCTTCAGTTTAATTATAGCAACACTAACATGTAACATGCATGCGTGTCCCACTTTGTATTCACTTGTATTTCTGCTTTCTATCTTTAATAAAAATTGATGCTGGTACATATACATAGATTACACAAGCTATTGCAAAATGTATTACAAATTATTCTTATTACCAAGAAATTCTGGGGTGTATTTTATGAAACTGGGCTGTTTTTGAATTGTCTATGGATTTAAATCAGTTTGAACTCTATGAAACTGCTTTATATTAACACTGCTATACTAAACAACTGTTCTTTTAGCATAAAAGAACAACTGTTCTTTTAACAGAGGTTCTTCCCATTGAGTATCTCCAGTGAAAAGGACTGAGTCTGGCTCTTACGCATTCATCCCCTTTATGAGGGAGATGGGTGGTTAAGAGATAGATAGATAGATAGATAGATAGATAGATAGATAGATAGATAGATAGATGATAGAGCATATGATCAAAAACCATGGTTTCTGAGCAAAAGGGCATCAAACATATTAATAGAATATATTTTGCTTGCATAATATCAAGGAATGGATGACCACTGCAAAATTAAAACATTTAAAAATAATTAATTTTGGAAAGTTATTTTGAAAAATAACTAAAGATTAGATTGAGAATTAGCTACTTTTAGTATGTATTCATTAAAATATTACTCTAGTAGTATTATTGTCTATTTAAATGGCTCCTCCTCTCAAGATAAATCTTCCTGTGATGAAATCAGTGGTGGGTTGCTCCCGGTTCGGTCCGGTTCTTGAGAGCTCGTAGTAAAGGCGGGAGGCTCCGCCCATCCACCTGGACGTTAGCATGAACGATCTCTGCATGCACAGAAGTGAGCGCATGCATGTCTCCCATTATGAACCAATAGCGGAGGTAAGTAGAATCCCCCCTGGATGAGATACTTGAAGAGCAGTAGCACTTATATACCACTTCATAGTCCTTTACAGCCCTTTCTAAGTGGTTTACGCAGCATACTGCCCCCAATAATTTGGGTCTTCTTTTACTGACCTCGGAAAGATGGAAAGCGGAGTCTACCTTGAGCCAATCAGAATTGAACTCCTTTTAGTTGGCAGAATTGGCCTGCAATATTGCATTTTAACCACTGCGTCACCACAACTCTTCTATAAAATTAACTTTGTACTTAAGTATCTCTATTTCCAACTTAATGAGATATCCAGGACATATATTTTTCAATTGTTGACATCCAGTCAGATTTCATTTATAATTCATTTGCATTATAAACCTTTCAACTATATGTAATTTAACTGGTAAAAATATTTTCCATCTAACTTAAAAATCTTACAGCTGAAAGCAATCTTGTTCCTAAATCCAATGTCAGGGTTCCAAGTAACACCCACAACGAAAGAAGACTCCGAGGCTAGAAGTTCCTCAAAGTTCCATTTTATTAGAGATGTTATATTGGCACATCTGGGAAACTCGAATCTGAAACCCGGCGGGGGTGGGCATGTGAATGGCAGGCAGACTATTTGTGCGAGCAGTGTACGTGCCCTCTACATGCACGAGTGTTTAAGTGGAGGGTGCTTGCGCTCGCACATGAAGTTCCACTTGCACAGTGGGCACTTGAGTGGAAGGGGCTTGTGCTCGTGCAAAGTTCCACTCGTGCGAAATGTCCAAAACATTTATGAGCTCTGGTGGCGCAGTGGTTAGAATGCAGTACTGCAGGCTACTTCTGCTGACTGCCAGGTGCCAGCAGTTCAGCAGTTCAGTTCTCACCAACTTTTGCATCCTTCTGAGATCGGTAAAATGAGGACCCAGATTGTTGGGGGCAATATGCTGTTCCTGTAAACTGCTTGGAGAGGGCTGTAAAGCACTGTGAAGCAGTATATAAGTCTAAGTGGTATTGCTATTGTGCTATTTATTAAAATAATAAAGGCAGGATAGAATTTGTTAATATTCCACAATGTTAGTTTTTTCATTATGATTTATATATAATTTTTAGCTGTTCACTACCACCACTTGTTAAATCAAGTCACTGTACAAGAAAGCAAGAAGTTCAGTTATAATTAGAACTCTGGGCTTTTAGTTCTTGCCCTGCTTTTTGCTTCTTGATATAAATGTATTGCCAGTAGTACATGACATTATTAATATTCTGTCTTTATATAACATTTATCTCTGCAGAGAATGTTTAATAAAGAGTCCTATATGTAATACAACTTCAATTTAGCTTATATTAGAAACATTATTATCCAGATTACGCCTTAGACTACAAAGGTGGCAGACTACACAGATATTTGGGTAACTATACAGTAATGCTTAAAAATATGTGTGTTGCATTTTCAATATTTCTGCATAAAAAATATTACAGTAGGTCATACTAAAATACAATCTGTTCTCCGCACAACATTAAAAATTAAATAAAGAGGACTCAAACAAATGAGCCAAAGTATTTTACTTTGTTCTTTGATTTGTTGAGGGAAATGATCCAAAGTTACAGGGCCTGAGAGCCAGGAATATGCTAGGCAAACAGTGCTAGTGCATTCCTTATGTCTCATTGTGTGTTTGCTTACTTTCTTGTAATCCTTTCCTCTCCGATGAAGGTAAATACAAACATTAATTCCCTTCTGGCTAATTATCCCAAAGGACAGAGAAGGGAGAAAAGTGCAAGCTGAAGTAAAATTGTAAGTGCAGTCACAGTCATGTAGTTTTCCACTTAACAACCACATCACTTAGCACCAATTGTGGTCACTAAACAAGAACTACCTGTATCTAGTTTTAGGACATGTATGGAGAACAGGTGTTTTAGGTTATTTTTATACAGAAATGTTGAAAACTCAAAAGGGTTCATAAACTTAACCATCACAGTAGCTATTGACCTAGAAGTCATATATTTCTCAATATTGCTGTGTCTTAAATGCTGCAGTCCTCACGTTTGGTGTACTATATAGTATATAAATAAAAGTCCTGTATACCTTTGCAACATACAGTTTCATGGATACATTTACATAATGATTGTACATTTTAGTGACAATTCTAACCTGATGTCCAAGTGTTGTCCTTTCAAAGCAGAAAATAGTGTAACAAAAACCATTCCGTGACTTGGTATGGACTATTTAAGTTGTATTTAAGTTGCATTATCAATGTGCACTGTGTTTTCCAAACAGGGCTCTGACCTAAATACATTTTTTGAATTACAAAATGTCAAAAGTTATGTAAATTGCATCAGTTTGGAGAAGATATGGCTTTCTGATGGAATAGAAAAAATAGTTAATGCACAGTACCTTGTCCAGGAGAAAGGTGCATTGTTTCAAATATTTGAATGCTCTTTATTCATGCTTGGTAACCTATTGACTTCAGTAATGTATTGATTTGATGCTAAAAAATGCCAGCTTCCCCTTTCCCCACCAATCAAGGCCATTTTTAGTTAATAATTAAGAAAATGGAATGCTAAACAGTAATGCAGTAATGACATCTGTGTGCCAATACAATATTACTTCAGTGAACGTATCTGGAAGTAGAAGGACCAAGTTGAATAAGGAAAATAAATCTCAAAAACTCCATGGTCAACATAACATTTCAAATATAATACTCAAAGTTTCATAGCAATCCCATTCAATTTTATTTTGAGAATCACATGTAGGCCCTTATATGGAATAAAACTAAGAAATGATACTGAAATGAATAAAGAAAGTTCACTTGCCAGATAACAATACAGATAACTTGAACTTGGTTCTATAATATTGCAAAGTGGAATAAATCTATTGGAATCCTAGTGGAATATCACAAGTAGTAGAACATCTAGTTGTAGAACTTCATAAAATTACAATCTATTAATTTTATAATCTCAATAAAATCGATATAAATTTTCTAACAGTTTTCTGTTACTGTATTCTTTTTTTAAAAATACATTACTCAGTCAACGACTGTAACTCATTACATAATGTTAATAAAACCTATTTGATACCAGCTAGAAGGATGACACTATGGATTGTACTTCCTGTTTTCTGAATATCTACATATGATTTATTTTGGGACTGAGTGCATTTGTGACTATTCTGAATGTTTTAGTGAAGAGGAAATATAGAACAAAAATATCAACTGCCAACCCCTAATCTTTAAGGCATGGTACATTAGTCACCCAGAAGAGTGAATCTATGATGAATTCACATCTATTCCAAACCACATCCTAGAAAGAACAGTTTAATAAGCAGGAACATAACTCGAGTCAACGCTATGGGTTTCTCTTTGAAGATATCACACGCAAACTATGCAGAAGAACAACATGCCAAATGTAGGTGGTGCCTGCTAATGCTTATGAGACATCTTAAGAAAGAAATATAAACTTTTAAATTTGGAAAAATGGGCAGGATGGTATCTTATTACAAGTGGAGAGAAAGAAGGAACTTCCTTTTTATTAATCCATTAATCTTCAGTTGATTGAATTTATTTATTTATTTATTTATTTATTTATTTATTTATTTATTTATTTTGTCAAACATGTACTAGATAACAGGTATAAGTATAAACATGGACATGAACAAGGAATGAGTACAAATAAATGGGGACAGTAGGACAGGGACAGTAGGCACACTGGTGCGCTTATGCATGCCCCCTTTAGAGATCTCTTAGGGATGGGGTGAGATCCACAGAAGACAGTTTAAGGTTGAAGCTGTGGGGGTTAGAGGATGTAACAATGGAGTCAGGTAGAGCATTCCAGGCGTTGACCACTCTGTTGCTGAAGTCGTATTTTCTGCAATCGAGTTTGGAGCTGTTTACTTTGAGTTTGTATCTATTGTTTGCCCGTGTATTGTTGAGGTTGAAGCTGAAGTAGTCATTGACAGATAAGAGGTTGTAGCAGACAATTTGGTGTACTATGCTTAGGTCAGACCGTAGGCAGCATAGTTCCAGGTTGTCCAAGCCCAACATTTCGAGCCTGGTGGCGTAAGGGATTCTATTGTGAGCAGAGGAGTGGAGTACTCTTCTCATGAAATACATCTGGACCCACTCAATTGTATTAATGTCCGATATACAGTGTGGATTCCAGGCAGATGAGCTGTAATCAAGAATTGGTCTGGCAAAAGTTTTGTATGCCCTAATTTGCAGTACAATGTTACTGGAGAAGAAACTTTGCAAGATTAGGTTAACAACTCTTAATGCCTTTTTGGCAATGCTGTTACAGTGAGCTTTTTGGATGAGAAGCAAAATATTTTCAAAAAACCAAGAAAATCCAGTTGCCTTTTGAAAAGACACTTTTGGAATAGTACTGAGTACCATTATAGTCTACAATACAAGCTAAAGCTATAATCCTGTGCATATTTACTTGGCATGCTTCCTTTTAAATTTCATTGTGAGTAAATTATGCATAGTTATACAAACACACACACACATGCATGTGTCTCTTATGTCCAGATCATGGTCTGCTGGATATATACAAAAGACTTATTTAGTGTTTTAGGCTTAAAGCCTGCTATGTAGAGCAAAGACAGAATTCAGAAATTACTATTAACCAATCACATTTTTATGACACCAAACTATCATCTAGAGAATAACATATACAACAATAGTCCCTTCTAAACCAGCTCTAATTTCATAGAAGAAACATCTGTGTTATCAGGAAAAAAATGAAAACAACATTTTAAGTCTTTCTTTATCCACACAGTAGAAACCAATAAACCTGGCAGCTATCTTAATAGAGGTCTCAGAGACCCAACAATCCCAGGACTGGAACCAAAGCCAAGTTTTAAGAACTTTCCAGAACTTTAGGAGAGAGGGTGCAGTCCTTCTTCCTGGGTCAATGATGTTCTAGAGGTGGGGCTGAGAACGCATGTTTCCTCAACCCCACATTTGACCACATTTAATAAAAGGGCCCTGGTGCACACCCATTCTGCTGGAATGTATAAACAATTGGGGACGAATAGTTATCCAGGCCCTATGCCTGTAATGGCAAACCTATAGCACGCGTGCCACAGGTGGCACGCGTAGCCATATCAGTGGGCATACCAGTTCAGCTCTGATTTTTGCCGGCCAGCTGATTTTTGGGCCTTCTAGGCCCACCAGTAGGGAAACAGGCTGTTTCCTGTTTCTGGAGGACCTGTGGGGGGGGGGGAGGCCTGTTTTTGTTTCTCACCTGGCTCCAGATCCTCTCTATGCATCTGGGGAGGGTGAAAACAGCCTTCCCCACCCCCTCGGAGGCCCTCTGGAGGCCTGTAACGGCCCATTTCTCAACTCCCGGTTGGACAGCAAGTGACATTTTTTGCTGTCCCCAGCCTCCAGAGACTCCTAGACAGGCCTACCAGGCCATCGCATGCCAGGAGCAGGGGGGGAGGGCGGGTTGTGCACTCATGCGCAAGGTGGGGCGCATAGAATTATGGGTGTGGGCATGCGCACGGGTGAACCTCCCCCGCCTCCCCCCCTCCTGGCATGCGATGGCAAAAAGGTTAGCCATCACTGCCCTGTGCCATGCAGGGCTTTATAGGTAATAATCTGTACTTTGAATTGCACTCAGAGCTGACTGGCAACCAATGCACACCATGTGGCAGTAGTGATATATGGATACATCAAAAAGCACCTGTTACCCAAAGGCACCTATTACTGCTCATATTGCTGTATTTTGAATGAATTGTAGCTTCTCAGTATTCTTCCAGGACAATCTCATGTAGAGCAGATTGCAGTAATTTAACTGGGTGGTGACAAGGGGTGGGTTCTACTTACCTTTACCACCGGTTCGCAATGGGATCATGCACGCGCCTTGTTTCTGCACATGCGCAGATCGCTGATGATGACATTTCGGGTGGTGGGCAGGGCTTCCCGTGGTTTTACTACTGATTCTTGCGAACCGGTCTGAACCAGGGGCAACCCACCACTGGTGGTGACCATGGTGTGAGTAACAATCTGAAGGGCCCCCAATCAAAGAAAGGATACAACTGGCACACAGGTTGAACCTATGCAAAAGCCCACCTGGCCATAGCTGCCACTTGCTTTTTGATTTTCAATTTGAGTCCACTTCATTCAATATGTCCAAAATTTAGAGATTACAAACAATCTATTTCTGAAATTGGTGAAGAAGTCCTTAATAAATAAGTAACAGTAGAGAATAAAACACTGTATCTCTGTGTTTATTATTTACTGATTGGATTCCAATAATTTTTATGAAAAAAGCCATAGGCATGAATACAAATACTTGCAATGTTTCCATCTCCTTATGCCAGGTAAATAGAATTAAATAAGTGGTGGGATTCAAATTTTTTTACTACTGGTCCTGTGGGCGTGGCTTGCTGAGCGTGGCTGGGTGGGCATGCAGAGGAAGGATACTGCAAAATCTCCATTCCCTCCCCATCCCACTAACCTGCTTTTCAGCTCCATGTGCAGGGCAACAGCAGAAGACCTAGCCAATCAGCTGGGACTCAATCATCTGGGACTCGGGAAGCAGCAAATAGATAGGAGCAGGGCCAGTGGTGGTATTTGCCGGTTCTTCAAATTACTCAAAATTTCCGCTACCGGTTCTCCAGAGCTGGTCAGAACCAGCTGAATACCACCTCTAGAGTAGATCCATATAAAATTATTCCTAGAATAGATTGACGACAAGCAGCCCTTGATTTACCACAGTTCATTCAGTGACAGTTTGAAGTTACAACTACACTGAAAATAGGGATTTATGACCATTTTTCACACTTATGACCATTGCAGCATCCCAATGGTCAAGGGGTGAAATGCTCCCGGCTCGGACCGGCTCAGCCGATCTGGTAGTGATGATGGCTGGTAGTTTGGGGAACCAGTAGTGATGGCAGCTGGAGGCTCCGCCCACCCACCCAGAAGTCATTACCTCCTGGTTTTAACCAGGAAGTAACCTGGTTTTTTGAGCCTCTGCGCATGCGCTGGGGCTAAGAGAGCATGTGCAGCCCCGGGACATCTCCCCTCTTTCCCGGAGCGCCGCTGCTGCCCCAGAGCTTGCCTCCATCTCTGGTCCATGCGCTGGCTGCGCAACCACACACCGTTTATTTCATTCATTCATCAGTGGCAGGTTGGATATGTGCCAGTGGTGAAATCTAAAATTTGTTACTACCGGTTCTGTGGGCATGGCTTGGTGGGGCAGTAATGTGACTGGGTGGGCGTGGCCATTTTTTTTTTACTTTTAAAACCATTTTTTCCTTTAAAAGCCTCTGCCGATCAGACAACTCAGCTGGGATCATCCGAGGCTTTTACCTTTGATGATCCCAGCTGAGCTGCACGATCATCAGAGGCTTTTTTTTTTTACTTTTAAAAGCATTTTTTCGGCCAAAGAGGTTGTAGAAAAAATGCTTTTAATTTTTTTTAAAAAAAGCCTCTGATGATTGCGCGGCTCAGCTGGGCATGCGGGGGGCGGGGACAAAAAATGGGACAAATTTACTTAACAATTTTTTCAATTAACAACATAAATTTTGGGCTCAGTTGTAGTTATAAGCTGAGAACTATCTGATGAATATAATATACTTTGACTTTAGTGGATTTAATTGTGACAGTATACATTCAACCTTGCATGGTTTCCTTTTTGTTCTACTCTTGCTCTAAATTTTTTTTCTCTGAACCACCTGCCTCCATCACTACTGGATCGGGCGATCTGGTCCTAACCGGGAGCATTTCACCCCTGGTGTGTGCCTGCGTAGCCAGCACGTAAACCAGTGCGGCAATGGTGATGGCACATTCAAGAAGGAGAGCAGCTCCGCTAACTTTCGGGCGCTTGCCTTCCCTGGCAGCCAGCCGCGGGAGAAAGGTAAGGATACACCATGTGGTGAAGGGAGAGCGGGCAGTGGCTCTGAGGCAAGGCTGGTGTTGGCGAATGGTGCATTCCCCAACCTGGTTGAGGCAGGCAGTGAGCAGGTGGTGGCTCTGGGGCCTCAGGGAATGGTGCATCCCTGGTCCCTGGTCCCCAACCCAAAGCGAAGGGAGAGCGGGTGGTGAGCGGGTGGCAGAATAGAAATTTAAAAAGTTTTCCTACCGGGTTCTGTGGACATGGTTTGGGTGGGGGCTTGTGAATGGGCATGGTTGTAAGTGACATCGAGCTGTCCATGCCCACTCAGTCACAGGACACCCCCAGTGGTGGGATTCAGCCAGTTTGCGCCACTTCGGGAGAACCGGTTGTTAACTTTCTGAGCAGTTTGGTGAACTGGTTGTTGGAAGAAATCATTAGGGCAGAGAACCGGTTGTTAAATTATTTGAATCCCACCACTGGACACCCCCTTTACCAAGCCACACCCACAGAACCGGTAGGGAAAAATTTTAGATTTCACCCATACAATGGTCACGTGATTCACATCCAGATGCTTGACAACTGACTCATATTTACATCAGTTGCAGTGTTCAGGAGTAATTTTGTGACCTTCTGACAAACAAAGTCAATGGAGAACCCAGATTCATTTAACAACCATGTTACTAATTCAACAACTGCAGTGATTCCCTTAACAAATGTGGCAAGAAAAGTCACAAAAGAAAAGGGACAAATTTACTTAACAATTTTTTCAATTAACAACATAAATTTTGGGCTCAGTTGTGGTCACAAGCTGAGGACTACCTGTAATATCAAAGGAAGTTAAGATATGATGAATATAATATACTTTTACTTTAGTGGATTTAATTGTGACAGTATACATTGAACCTTGCATGTTTTCCTTTTTGTTCTACTCTTGCTCCAAATTTTTTTTTTTTAAAAAATCACCTACTTCCTGCACTTGCTAGGGAACTCAGCCCTAAGCAGTATTTTAACTACAAAAGCATTTAACCTTAATAACACTCAGTTTTCAAAAAGATATTCATCTGTTTTTTTTCATTTCTGGGTGCTACTGTTTAGAATAGAAGAAAAAAAGCATGCGGTTAGCCAAGAACTCTGTAATCTCGCCTCCCCTTTTCTTTAGGAAACAGCTGGAATGAAGAGCTTAGGGGAGGAGTCAGCTTCAGGGTGGGGAGAGAGGAAAGACAGGAGGAATTTACCTGTCTAGGTAAGTCAGTGGGAGGTCAAGAACAGAACAGAGGAGGTGGTATAGCCTGTTTGATGTGTTGGTGCATAGCAGAGTACGTGGAATTGTTTTCATTTCCTAGTGAAGGTGAGTTAAACTCTAACTAAACTATGTTTGCTTAAAAGGATAAGGTACGTTACTGTATTTGTTCTTTCTTGGCTTTATTCTCACTTATACCTTTGACTTGCTACTAAATGATTGTGGAAAGGCTGATTTCTCCTTATGAAAGTAAGTCGTACCCAATATAAACTTTTCTTTACAAAAAGTTGCTGATAGAATCAAGAGAACAGTTCTTACCTCTTTAAGCAGATTCCAGTTTCTAGAACTACATGTATGGAATAACTAAGAATTTCTTATGCTTACTATGCAAAATTACAAAACAATGGGGATCTACTTCTATATTAAGAAGAGCAGGTATTGGTTTAGAAATATTGAAAGATGGAATTGAGTAGAAATGTTTTTGCTATAAGATAGCTTATTTATTGCATCAGCAATAGGAAGCAAAGGCTACTTTAACTCAACTGTAATTATAAGATATTTGACTGAATTTATTTTAACATGGATGGAAATTTACAATTTATTAGTTGAATGTAGTGAAACAAAAGAAACTGTAAATAATTTTAAATAGATATTAAGTTAGTTGGAACAGTGCAGATATGCAGCTGTAATTGTTGATTATTAGCGACTTGACTTTTGTGCATATAGGGTCAAAAGACTTGTGCATACATGTTGGAATTCTGTCTTGTTCTGAGATGGTTTAGCAAACATGACATTGAAATGCAATTAAGTAATGTAGATGCATCCAAGAATCTGTCTTTAACACTCATTTTGTTTCACCGATAGGCAAAGCTTTATTCAGTAAGCATTGTAGTGAGAAGAAAATGGTGCAAGTGGGCAGAGTTGCACAGAATTTACCATTTATCTAAATATTTTGCAAATTATATTTTTAACTGTTCAGCATCTTTTAGAATATATATATATGTATGTATGTATATATATATATATATATATATATATATATATATATATATATATCCTCAAAATACTTGTATGCCACCGAAATTCAGTGCAAAAGGTGTTCTGAGGGACTGCATGGAACATTATGTAGATTACATAAAGTCCCATCCTACATAAGTCCCATCCCACACTATAAAGTGTAGGATGATTTTGGTATTTGCCTTGTTGTATGACAAATTCTAGCAAAATGAGATATTTCAAGCAATCGGATGTTGTGTCATAAGAACTACACATAAACCACAACAATGTAATTGAGAGGTGCTGACTTCATACTATTGACTCAAGCTATTGTGAAGTATAGCAGAAAAATAGCTGATGGTAGAACTAGAAGAGGCTTCTGTAATTTGCAGTGGAATGAGCTGAATATAGTCTTTTCAATCTGGATTGCCAACTTTTAAATTTTTTTTAACACACAACAAAAGTAAGAGTAATATCAAGCTGCTATTGGCTATGTTCATCTGAGTGGGTCACAAATAAGGCAGGTCTACGAATGATGTGCTTAGCTAATTATTAGAAAACATTATTGAAGGAATAAAGCTTAATTATTCATTTGAGCTTCCAACCTCTTCTTTTCCCCACAACAACAACCCTGTGAAGTGGGTTGGTTTGGGAGAGTATGGCTGGTCCAAGCTGGTTTTCATGGCTAGGATGGGACTTGAACTCACAGTCTTCTGTTTTCTAGCAGGATGCCTTAACCACTAGTCCAGACTGGCTCTTATATTTTATAGAAACCATAGAAACATAGATTTAAATGTTCATTCAGGGATATTTTCAAGAAAAGATACAATATATATATTCAAGTTAAATTGGCAAATAAAGAAGTGAAAATATGTGGACCTCTGCAACATTTACTGCTAGCTATTATTTATTTATTTATTTATTTATTTATTTGTTTGTTTGTTTGTTTGTTTGTTTGTTTGTTTGTTTGTTTATTTATTTAACATATGCCACCCATTTTGCCTTGAGCAACTCTTATAGTTCTACATTATAATACAAAATCTATTTCTCCAAATATTGCATTTAATTTCACTAGAGATGGTGGATATATATCTAAAATCTTTCGGTGATTTTTTAATTCTTTTTCTACACTGCTAATGTTACATTCTGTATCATTACAGAATATAACAGAATACAGCCATCATTAATAAAGCAATTGTTTTATTGTTTTTAAATCTTCAATAAAATGGTTTGCTATAAAACAAGATAATGCAAATTATAAAAGTTTGAATATATATCTACACAGCAATTAAAAGCAAATTTATTTAAAAGGCAGCCCTGCAACTGTCTTATACTGAAATAAAATGCATCGGAGGATAAGACAGAGTTCCATAACTGGTAGTAGTTTCTCAGTGTCATCTGATATGTCTTCTATGGCTCTACTTGAAAAATGTTCTCCCAGGTATGAAGGTCACATGAGAAGGACTGATAACACTTCCAGTTAGCTCACATATATATTGTTGATATCTTAAGCGTGGGCGCACCTAGTTTCATTTCCTCAAATATGTACCCAGAAAAAAAGTACAGCTGTGCCCTGTGTTCACAGTTTGATACCCTGAGACCTAGTATTCAAGGATGTTAGTTAATATTTAATATAGCTTTTAGAACTATTCTAACTGCTTTTTTAAATTCTTAGTGTTTTGTGTTGTTCAAATTTCTTTACAAACGAAACTGATTTTTGCCACCCACAAGTAATGTCAAGTCTTGCACAAGTTAAAGAAAATTGGAACCACACCTTTCAGCTTGCTACCCTTATTTTTCACTGTTTCACTGTTCATAAAAGAGAAATCCTGAATCCAGAATTTTTCTCAAGCGTAGCTTGTTCAGACCCTGAAACAAGCTGACCTCTCAGTAAAACTTAGTCTTGAAAAAGACATTTAGAGTTGTTGGTATTTGAAACAAATCAATTTTTGGGGGGAAACAAAACAACTCATCACACAAAGCAGTTTGAATCCACAGCAATGTGCATGGCAATAAAAATGCAGACCTGGGTGATCCACAGATTCAGAAATATTATTTAGATGCAAATATTTTTATTCTGACAATTGAATGACACAAGCCCCACTGCAGAAATGATAAATAGATAAGCCAATTTAAGATCCTGAGTTCAAGTACATATCATGACTGTTTCAGGGGCAATTATACTCAGTTGCTTCTTTTGCTTCTCCTTTTTCTGCTGTATGTTATTAAAACCTTTTTTTCAAAACAGAAGAAAACAAAAAGTCTGGTAAAAGAAGGCTAGAGTTCACTCCATACTGTTGTGTTCATTCATGATCTAAACTGGTACTGCACCACTAGGGTGCTCTATCTATGTTTTACTTGTGGCTATATATGCATTCAAATGACATGATAGATATTTTTTTTTACAATATATAAATGAGGGGTGCGATGGCTCAGCAATTAAAGATGCTGACCTTGTCAACTGGAAAGTTGATAGCCCAGGTTTGAGACCTGACCGCTGCATAACGGAGTGAGCTGCCCCAGCTCCTGCTTACCTAACAGTATGAAAACCTGCAAATACAAGTAGATAAATAGGTACTACTTCGGTGGTACGGTAATAGCATTCCACCTCAGTGTATAGTCACTCTGGCTGCATGACCACTAAAGTGTCTTCAGACAATGTCGGCTTCCTCAGTTAGGAAATGGAGGTGAACACCACCCCTTAAAGTTCAACACATCTGGACAGGGGAAATCTTACCTTTACCTTTACTTTTATAATATATGAATGATACAAAAACTCTATTTTTCCAATAGCTCTAGGAACCAGCTGGCATAAATTTAATGGAGTACAAGAACGTATTCTGTATCCAGACCGCCATCTGTATATATAAATAAGTTCTGAACTTGTGCCCAGAAACTGAATACCTGATAGATACAATAAAGGAAAGGAAGCTAAACAAAGACTATGCTAAGAAGTGCTTAAGCCACAATAATGAAGAAACAATCTTTTTGCTAGCCTGGTTAATTTGGTGTAATTTGAATCTTAGTAGTCATCACCTCCATCTTCATTAAAGAACATACATACTGGGAAAGCATTTAGACCAACTCTGTCAAATTTTTTGTTCCATATAGAAATATGATGGGTGGCTGGGACCTTTCAGACTTCAATACTTCTGAACCTAACTCCTGTAATGCCTCTGAGAGTTTGATGAAAGCTTTTAGAGAGGGGGGAAAAGTTATGGAGCCCTATGATGTATTTCAAGAACTTCACCCTTATGTATTTAGAGTTTAAAGTGTGAGATGACTGCTTTACAGATCAAACTCATTGTAATTATATCTGGGTGGTAAGAATCTCTTGATTTTTAGATAGGGTATTATTTTGGAAAAAATGCCTAATGCAAAGGCTTTGTAAATCTACCAAGTCATCTCTGCTGCCTTCCTTCCAGTTAATGATATTATTGTGTATCACTGATGATCAAGATAAAGAATATTTGTTTGAGAGTCATCATTCTGTATTACATTAAGTCAAATGTAAGGTGTTCATAAATCATCCATAAGTAAATGCAAACACTGATATTTGCACCTGAATATTATAGAGGTCCTTATGATTTATATTTCCAAATCACCAAAGTAAGATAATGTGAGTTCAAAGAGAACACTGATCTATAATAATTGACAGATATTACAAGTTTTCAGTTTATTGAAGTTTAAAATTTTGAAATGTTAGAAATGGTTTTAATTTTAATTTTGGTATTTTAAATTCAGCCAAATTATTTAATTCATTTTTAATTTATTTTAAATTTTTGTATTTATGTGTTTTATCTTGTGGCTGTTCACCGCCTTGAGTCCTTCGGGAGAAGGGCGGTATAGAAATTTAATAAAATAAAAAATAAAATAAAATAAATTGCGTTTTCAAGGAACAGAATGGGACAACATGCCCTGGCTGACTTACCCTACTTTGCCCCGGCTTGCCCTGGCCAACTTGCCCCAGCCAACTTGCCATGAGACAACTCGCTGCAAGACAATTCAATGCTGGATAACTTAACATGAGATAACAGTACTGTTATACACCACTGTTTCTTTGACATCGTTTTAATTTTTGTCATTCACGTTTCATTTTGTCTCAGTACAGTTATCTCGCATTGAGTTATTCGCATTGAATGGTCCCACAGTGAATTGTCCCACAGTGAGTTGTTCCATGGTGAAGTGGCCAGGGCAAATTGGCCAGAGCAAATCAGCTGTGATGAGTCAGCCACGGCCAATCGACTGCAGCGGATCAGCCGTGGTGAGTTGGCCAGGGTAAGTTGTCCTAGACCCTCAAGGAAAATGCTGTGGGAAGTGATGTTGAATTAATGTAGTTCAATGTTTATGAATTATCGTTCCCAGAAAGCAGAAATACTAAAATAGGTGCTTGAAATGTGGAATGTTGGGTGTGTACATGAAAAACTCTGTGTCATTAGATGCTCTATCTTCTATCACTATTACATTTCTTGTTTCGTTGTCAATTCAGAAAAAGAAAAAAACCTTAAATATTATTATTATGGTTAATCTTTGGTGAGATTCACAGCCTTTGAGGCTGGTTAATAGCTCAGCAGCTCGAGTCCTAACCAAGGACCTAGGAATTATTATTATTATTATTATTATTATTATTATTATTATTATTATTATTATTATTGGATTTATATGCCACCCTCTCTCCGAAGGACTCAGGGCTGCTTACATCAAATGAAACAATCCCAATAAATACAAATTAAAACAGACTAAAACAGACTAAAAACCAATTTAAAACAGTAGACCCCACCAGTCCTGGCTAGGGCGTTTAAATATCCAGGTCTTAAGCTAATAGCAGAAGGTACGAAGGTTGGGGGCCAGCCGAAGACCCATGGGAAGTTGATTCCAAAGGGTGGGCGCGGCCACAGAGAAGGCTCTACCCCTGGGGATCGCCAGCCGACATTGTCTAGCCGATGGCACCCTGAGTAGGCCCTCTCTGTGGGAATGAACCGGGCGATGGGAAGTCGATGCTGGTTGCAGATGGTCTGACATATCCTGGGCCTAAGCCATGAAGGGCTTAGGTTAACACCACTTGAATCTCACTCGGAGGGCAACCGGCAACCAATGCAAGTCACGCAGGAGAGGTGTAACATGGGAGTATCGGGATCCTCTCATTACAACCCTTGCAGCCGCATTCTGCACCAGCTGAAGGCTCCGAGTGGTCTTCAAGGGCAGCCCCAGGTAGAGAGCATTACAGTAGTCAATCCGGGAGGTGACTAACGCATGAGTGACTGTGCATAGGACATCACGGTCCAAATATGGGCGCAACTGGCGCACCAGGCGAACCTGGGCAAGCGCCCTCCTGGTCATGGCTGTTATATGCTCCTCCAAACCCAGCCGTGAATCCAGAAGGACACCCAAGTTGCGCGCTTTCTTTTTTCATTATAACCTCCTTGGTGAATCCCTTCCCCTTTTAAATAGTAATTTTATTATTATAATTTAAAAGATAAAAACTAATACAAACTAAAAAAATAAAAGAATAAAAATAAAAAATAGAAAGTGTAGAAAAGAAAAAACAGGAATTAAAAAATAAGAATATAATAAAGAGAAAGAAAATAAACATATAGAGAAATGATTTCACTTTGCATTTTTTTTAAAGTCTTTTAGCTTATATTTAAAACTTCTTTCGCTAAGGACTGAAGTACTATAAAATTTGTCACTCCAAAGATTCTAAATAGCTCCTTTTTAGCTATAAGTTAATTATATTCAAAAATGATTAAGAAATGAAGTTCATGCTAATTTTATGTCCGTAAAGGGTATTTTACAGCAGTGTGCTTGGTGGAAACCCCACCCATCCACCTCCAGCTACTCAATTCATAAACTAATTGCAAAGACCTCAGTTCCAGAAGTCTTCTCACAAGAAGTAATCATCTGGATTGCCAAACTCATGATCGCTCGTTTTGGAGCTAGCCAGAATTCATCTTTTGGCTCCTGGTCTCCATCGCAGTGCATTTTCTGCTTTTTCAGAGACATCTGGTTCATCATAAATCCTCACCAGAAGTCTGCTGGGTTTCTTTCCCTTGATGCAGTTAGAACTAAGGTTGTACCATATATAATTTTCATAACAAATTTTACCGCACCCCAACATGATGGAAAGAAGTCTCCTTTTGAAAAACAGATTCTCAAGTTGTACCGACAGCTGTAATCCCTGATTGAAATAAAAATGTTATTAGTAGTTTCTTTACTAATGAAAAATGGAAGTTGAATGTGTTTTTTTGTCTATGTTTTTGTACAGAATGACAGATCCCACCTTGTTTTATTCTTATTATGTTTTATTGTTTATTATATTCTGAGCCACCCAGAGTTGATGTGAGAGAGTGAACCACCCATGTTGGCTGGTGCCTAAATTGAATTTAAAAACAAAAAAAACTACACCCACATATTTTGAAAATGTGTAATGCAAGAACTCTGCACCTTTTTAAAAAAAAAATCTGGCATATTACATAATACTATAATTCTTGAGATTTCAGACTGCTTTCTGAAACAAACATAAAAAGGTTCCCCTCGCACATATGTGCTAGTCGTTCCTGACTCTAGGGGGCAATGCTCATCTCTGTTTCAAAGCCGAAGAGCCAGCGCTGTCCGAAGACATTTCTGTGATCATGTGACCGGCATGACTAAACGCCAAAGGTACACGAAACGCTGTTACCTTCCCACCAAAGGTGGTCCCTATTTTTCTACTTGCATTTTTTACGTGCTTTCAAACTGCTAGATTGGCAGAAGGTGGGACAAGTAATGGGAGCTCACCCCCTTACTTGGCACTAGGGATTTGAACCGCTGAACTGCCGACCTTTGGATTGACAAGCTCAGCGTCTTAGCCATGAGCCACTGCGTCCCTTGAAACAAACATAGTTAAACCCATTTGTTAATTTCTAATTTTACTAAGTAAATCAGAAGGCAAAGAGATCTGGATTTCTGAACTAAAATTAGGATGAAGGTGGGTGAGCTCCAAATCAGTCTGAATGAATATTATGATGGACTCACTCTTCTGTAAATCTATTTTTAGATCTTTTTCCTATATTACAGATCCAAAAGTTTTAGAAAATTGTTTTACCTAACTTCTCTGTAACAAGTATTGAATACTGTAACATGAGACAAGTAATTTGATTGAAAGTTGCCTGTCTATGACAAGAGGAATTGGGATTAATGTTGATAAAGATGCTGTGTTAGATTTAGGCAGCCACTTGTAAAACAGGACTGGGAGCTATTTAGTATCTCTGAATAGCTGCCAAGGCCTTGACATAGTGTTCTCTCGGGTCTTTACCTATACTCTCTTTTATAGTTTTTTTTCCCCCCAAGCTGATGCTAGACGATCACATTCTGGAACCTTATAGGAAATTTAGAATGGCAAGTAGATTCAGGCATTCATCCTAAGAGTTTTTCTATTTTATTATGTGAAAATTAAATACTAGAACTATAGCCTCCAAAATCCTGTAATCTGAAAACTTTCCTCTTTGCGGTGTAGGACAATTCACTGGAGTGATGATGTGATTGAGATGCTTTTTGTACATTGAATGGACACAACTTCTAGCAAACGTGGCATCACTGTATTAGGTGTAGCCCAGTACTACTAAGGTTAAATAAGTGTAAGAGGAATAGTCTTCTCATCTCTTGTGGGAAGAATTTACACAATGTGACACAAGCATGGGGTGGAGCTAAAAACATGACTGACTGGAATAAAGCTTGTGACCACACCATCACAAGGTAGTATGGCCTAATGTATTTAACAAAGCTTGGGTAGGGAGTGGTAGGAAACTCTCAGACAGCTTTATTTTTTTATAGTGCTATTAATTGCTTAAGCAAATGGAACAAAATTATGATATTAACATTAAAATGTATTTGGATAAAGATTCAAATCTTTTCATTTTGGGTTATTTTTACATAGTCAACATTTTCAGTAGGACAGTCAGAATGCCCAAAGATTGGATTTCTGTGCTTTTTATTTTAAAAGGGTAGAAAAGGAAGATCAGGAGAAAATAAATAGCAGAATTGCAAAGAGTTAGGTAATTCATTGAAGACATGAAAGGTAGTACTAGTACTTGAGATGACACCATCATGACTTGAGACCTGCAAATGGACAATGCCAATATGTTGCAGAAATGCATATTCCTATTTTATAACTTACTAAACCCATAGTCTAGCACTGCATTTTCACTGAACCTGCCTAGAATTAAAGTCTGTAATTAGCTCAGATACAATATTATAGAAAACTATGGAAGAGATGAAAGCGCATATTTTTCTGATAGGTTCCTGCTTTTAAAGGAAATAACAATATGTGCCTTTGGGAACAAAATCTATTAATTTCTTCATGTTCTGTTGCATAATTGTTAGTCCAGACTAATCCACCAAAATAAAGGAGAGTATACTGTTATGACACAGTGATTAGGAACTGTGATGGAGGATTACATTCTTTTATTGTTGGTCACACACTCAGCCAGATATTTAGACTGGTATTGGTATTTTTTTCCACCTATTGAATCCTTTCCAAGACCTGAAATAGGCAGATATTGATATTTGATAGTGTTAAAGGTATTGTTGAAAGATATAAGCTGTTCCAATTAAAACTGTCTTTTGCAATTGTCTGATGGTGGTTTTCTTAATGCCGATGGTGCTAAAAAGGTGCTCCAGATGTTTTGGGATTGCACCTAAAGTGCCTATTACTACTGCTACTATTTTTGCTTTCTCCAGATGTTTTGGGATTGCACCTAAGATGCCTATTACTATAGGTATTATTTTTGCTTTCTCCAGATGTTTTGGGATTGCACCTAAGATGCCTATTTCTATAGGTATTATTTTTGCTTTCTTCTGCTACAGTTCTACAGTTGTTCTACTTCTATTTGCAGGTCTTTATATTTTATGTTTTTTTCTCCCCAGTTTGTTCTATTCTACTGTCCCCAGATATTACCATGTGCACTATCCAGACTTTTTCAAAAAAATCTTATTGACAATTATTAAATCTGGTGTGTTATCTGGCAGGTGTCTGTCAGTTGAATTCTAAAGTTCCTGAGCACTTTGGTTTCTTTATGTTCCATTATTTTCTCCATTTAATGATCCCATTAGTTCTTGCTTGCAGGCAAATGGTATTTTTTTGCAGTTCTTCTAACTTACCATTGTTGCTAATTTGTTGTGTCTTTATTTGTAGTCAGTCAGGGTGATTTTGTTGCAGCAGTTCTTCACTGATTTTTTAGGATTTTTTTTGCAGAGGTAGCACTTGCTGTCTATTGCTGTTTTCTCAATTCTGGTTTTGTATGCATTTGTTCTTAAGGCTTGGCCAGAATTGCAACCAGAATTAGCCCCTGTTTCTCTTTTTTCAACTTTCTTGCTCTTAGCTGTTGCTACTTGTTATTATGTATTGGCCGTATAATACTTCATTATTATTTATTTATTATTTATTTATTTATTCAATTTATATGCTGCACCTCTCCGAAGACCCAGGGCAGCTCACAATACACTCAAAAAATTACTATAAAAACACTTAAAAATTAAAAACATTAAAACCCATTCACACCATTCATGGCCGGATCTCGTCAGATCGCAAAGCGAGATCAATGGCCCCAGGCCTGCTGGAAAAGCCAGGTCTTCACCACTTTTCGGAAGGCCAATAGGGTGGAGATGGTCCGGACCTCAGGAGGTAACTGGTTCCAGAGAGCTGGGGCAGCCACAGAGAAGGCCCTCCCCTGCGAGCCTGCCAGCTGGCATTGTTTAGCTGATGGGACCTGCAGGAGACCAACTCTGTGGGATCTTACCGGTCGCTGGGAGCTATGCAGTAGAAGGCGGTCTCGAAGATAACCTGGCCCTGAGCCATGTAGGGCTTTAAAGGTAATAACCAACACCTTGAATTGTGACTTGAGACCAATAGGGAGCCAGTGCAGCTCGCAGGGAATTGGTGTAATGTGGGTGTATCTAGGTGCACCACAACAGCTCGCGCGACTGCATTCTGGACCAACTGTAGTCTCCGAACACTTTTCAAGGGTAGCCCCATGTAGAGCGTGTTGCAATAATCTAACTGTGAGGTGACAAGGGCATGAGTGACTGTGAGGACTATTATTAATAGTAATAGTATTATGGTTTATCACACAGTCAGCCAGGTGTTTAGATTGGCATTTTTATCCACCTATCAAGTTCTTCCCAAAGACCTGGAATAGGAAGATAGTTGTGGTTTGATGAGAATTATTATTCTCTGTTCACAATAATATGAAGTCACCATTGCTAGTTCTTTATGTGGTGTTGGCCTTCATACTTATTGAGTTCTTTCGAAGAACCTAGGATGATGTAATGTATCAGTGTCACATATACGCTTTAATATTATTATTCTGACTTTTTATTTGTAAATCAAACTGGCAAATATACCTAATACTCCTGCCTCTTATTTTCCTTAAGTCACAACAAGCCAACGAGGAGTTAAATTTCCATTCAAGAACAAAATTTATCAAGTGACCTGAGATAAATTACAAGCTCGCAACCAGATTTACTCGTAGGATTACCGAGGACACCACGTATATACTGGCTAAACCTAGAATTTCTGGATATGGCCTCATTCTAGTCTTGCAGGCATAGTTTAGAACTTCCTGTTTGTAATCTAGACTTCAATTCATTGAAAAATGAAATATATTTATCTCCCCCCCTCAAATAAAAAATACATGCTATTCATGATAGAAAGATGTAGCTATCTAGGTGACCCTAATTTTAAACGTTTCTTTATTAAAAGTGATTGCATTGAGTGTATACTTGTCTCTTGCTGGCTGGGGGATTCTGGGAGTTGAAGTCCACCCATCTTCAAGCTTCCAAGGTTGAGAAACACTGCTTTAAGGCATTCTCCATCTCCTTTCTCTAAAGAATGTCAGGTATGTGGCAGGTAAACACACACCCTGGCCTCTGCCCTAAGTAAATAGGCTCATTACCTGTGACTGCTTACAACTTTGAATTATTTAATGTTAATCTTCATTTCTTCAGTATTGTTAGCCAATAGGTATTATAACTATTAGTTAATAAAGCACGACAGCATTTAGAGAGGCCACTCTCATATTCCTTGCCTATGATTTTATGTGGGAATAAATTTGCTTTCTCTTCACAAAGCAAAATAAAATGTGCTTCTCTAATGCATTTTTTCCATTTAAAATGACCTTGGAGAAATTAAAACAAGATTTTCACTTACTGATTAAGCAGGTGGTAGCACCTGACTGACCTGGACTCAGACACTAAGCAGAGGCATATCTGATTACTACTTAGTTGGGAGACCACCAACATACATCAGAGCTGTGAACTGAACTGGGAACTCATGAACTATCTTGGAAGAATTGTTACCATGTTTTTTTTCCAAAAAACTGCCTCGGCATGATCATAAAGTTCCCTGGGTTGAGCTCTCTTTGGAAACTTTATAGTTTCCAGCTTTAACTTTATAGCAATTAAACCAGGTCAGAGTCTATAGCAGTATTCATTAACCTGGTGCCCTTTGGATATAATCCTCAACTAGCTTGGCTAACTGCTCATAAAAAGATAAGGAACTGGTCATGCCTTTTGGGAATGGCTTACAATGAGGGGTCCTTGGTGCTCTCTGAGCTTGCTTATTTTCTTGCAAATGTTTCATTACCCTAACTAGGTAGCATCATCAGTGCTAGTAAGGAGCGCTGTTTGCTATCAATTTATATTCTGGTGTCTTGCCTGTCTGTGTGGGTGGGAGATGGTTTTAGGGATTCTTTGGTTGGGTTACTTACTGATGGCAGTTTCTTGATTGGGCTTTGCTTACTCGAGTGTTGGTCTGAGGTTGACCTTGGAGGTTCATCTTTGCTGATCTGATTGCTGATTACTGGTGGAGAGGCGCTGGAGTCTTTTTATCTTTTTGGGTTGGTTATCTTTTTTTTCCCAACCAGGGTAGTATTACATGTAATAGGACAATTGACCCTAATTTAGAAAATAATGCTTAGATTATTTTGCAAATACCTTCAGTATTTGAGAATGGAGATATGAAGCAGATGGATAACTTCTGCCTTTTCGGGTTGATTGTGAACAGTAAAGAAACCAAAAATGAAGAAATACACTGAAACCTGTACTTGATAATAATGAAGCCTTGGAAAGATATTCAGAAGTTGTGAAAGATCAGAAATCATGCAAGTCATCATTTTCCCTATAATACTTTATGGAAGTAAAAGTTGAACTTTGAAAAGCAGACTAGAAAGAGCATTAATGCTTTTGAACTTTGTTGTTGGATGACTCCCTAAGAATTTCACGGATAGTTAAGAAAATAATCAAATAGTTCATAGAACAAATCAATTCAGAGTTTTCACTTGAGGCAAAAATGAAAAGGCAGGTCAAATTGTCATTATTTTGAATACATAATGTGAAGGCCTAACTCTCTTAAGAAATCTATAATGTTGGGAAAGCTATAGGGAAACTGAAGAAGATGACTAGCAAAAAGATGGGTGGATTTGATTATAGTGGTGATTATAAAACATGAACAACTACTTAGAGACAGATCAATCTAGAGAAGGTGTATTTGTGTGATTGCTAAGTGTGGACAGTAATTTTATGATGCATAATCACCTTTAACACACCATGTAAATCAGGTTTGTAGAAGTACCGGTAAGTACTTTCAGGTTAAAGACGTGCTCATTAATTATATAATCTTAATGAAGTGAAGATACCCATAATTCCAGAGAATTTCAGTGGTGTGAATTTGGACACTTTTGTATGCATAGTCATGAGTTGCTGCTACAAAACAACAACAACAGTCATTTCACAAATGTATTCAGTGAGCATATATATATATTTTAAAAAGGTTATACAAAAATGAAAATGTAAAAAAGCAAAACATTTAATATTTCTTAATTTGTCCTAAATATGTTTTGACATTGCAGAATATATATGATTTTGTTTTCTTTTTATCCCAGAACCCTTGAATCATACGGATTGCTCCCTTATTTAACTTGATATGCCTAAAAAAGATTTATGGGTAGGAATAGCTGAACCAGATCCCACACAAACTGTTGACAGTTCAGGCAGCTGTGACAGTGTGATCAGCAACAACTCCAGTTCCTTTGAAATGGTAATACTTTATTTATTTGTGTATTGATTTCTTTTGAAAGTTGTGTGGTATCTATTGCTTTAATGGCACTAGATAATTTGTAAAGTATAGTAAAAATATTCCTTATGTGTATTATAAAATAATACTTGCTTATTATATATAGGTTAATAATATTAATGTTTGTAAGCTGCTCAGAGTTTCCTTGAAGTGAGAGGGGTGACAAATAAATCTAATAATAAATACAAAATGATGTTTTAAATGGACATTTCTTGTATATTTTAAATATGGGCTAAGAACTGGAATCACCAATAATGCCCCATCAATTGATTCATGTCCTTAAAAATGTTAAAATGGTATCTACTGAAAAATGATTCATGAAAAAATGTAGGGTGTATTAAACTCAAAGAATATATTGAAAGGATGGATATCAGATTTTCTGTTTTTGAGATATAAAAAATTTGAGAGTTATTGACCCATATGGTAGTCAAGAGATCATTAGGTATCTTTCTGGAATAATGTGTTAATGTATATAAATACATTTTAGGAAAACCTTTAAATACTTAAATCTTAAAAATGTTAATAATGTAGTGAACTGTATTCCAAAACTGAGTATTTAATAAGAATTATGGTTGTACAGGTAGAGCAGTAGCTAAAAGAATCATGCTGAAAAATTAGAAAAGTAATATTCTAAGTGTTGAGGAATGATTGTCAGAAATATGTGATGCTTTGTATCTGTTGATGCATTTTTATAACCCTGTATTAAAATTAAAATTCATAAGCTGTTTATATATGTGGTTTTTATTTTTTATTGTTGACCCTTAGATCTAATTTCAGTTTCAAGTAAGGAACTGAGCCTATCTGGATCAAACCACAACTGACATTTAATCATTTTATTTCAATTAATTTATAGTTTGTCCAGTTGAACTATTTTCAGCAATGGTGGTTGCAGAAAACAAACAAACAAACAAACAAACAAACAAACAAACAAACAAACAAACGTATGCTCTATTTTGAAAAAAAGTTAGCATTTTATTGACCTTGGTTAGAAAGATTGGTTAATGTTTCCCAGGAATTGCATAGGTAAGTTTGAATGAAAGACACGAAATAGAGATGAAATTCTTGTTTTTAAGAGCAAGCTTTTATGACTCCTCCTTTACTCAGGAATTTTTTGTTCTTTTTTTTTTGTCTCAAAGAGTGACGGTGGCTTTGATTATCTGACAGTTGAAGAAAAAGAATGTCTTATGTTTCTTGAAGAAACTTTGCATTCTTTAGATGCTGAAGCAGACAGTGGACTTTCTACTGATGAGGCAGAAGCTGTTGAACTTTCCAAACTTCCAAGGACATGGCCTACAAGAGATGTCCCCAAAGGTAAGTTTCTGAACTGATTTATAAGTAATTTGCAGTGGGAATACTTCAACTGAACAGTAATTCTTGACTGAGTTTTGAAGAAACAAGACACAGATTTAAATTCCTGTTTGTATAAGCATGCCTTAAGGCAGAGGTCTTCAAACTTGGCAGCTTTAAGACTTGTGGATTTCAACTCCCAGAATTCTCCAACCAGCTATGCTATGCTATGCTAACATACAGTAGCTATGCTGGTTGGAGAATTCTGGGAGTTGAAGTCCACAAGTCTTAAAGCTGCCAAGTTTGTAGACTTCTGCCTTAAGGTCACAAAATAGTTGATATTTATTCTGCCATCCAAATTATCGGAAAAGGCTTTAATATAGTACAGATTGTCCCATGTAATGTTTTAAGATTTGATAACTTTAAAATATGATGCTTTGAGATGAAATTTTATGTTTATTTAAGTTGTAAGAAATTAAGTTTCAGGAAATAGGTGTCTTTGGTTCAAAATTCACATCTTCAAAATAAGGGAGGTTACACTCTAGCTTTTCATTAAAAATGTCTAACCTGTTGAGTCTCAGATATAGTTCTTGTTTTTTTAAATATGGTTAACCTGGAAATTTTTCAATAAGTTTTTTTATACAGTTGTACTTTGAACATATCTTCCTTCATAAAAGATGGTATTCTATGACTGAACAATATAAGCACTTGAATTTGGTATAGAAAACCAGCATTTTTACAGTTTCTCTCATCTACATCTCTTGGAAGAAATGTTCAAACTCTTGGAGAATGTGTTCAAACTCATAGATACCTTATTCATGTTTTATTATTTCATCCAAAGTTTATCAAATTAATCTAATGACTGTGCAAAATCTAAATGAATATTTGCTTCTATTCCTCCTTGGCTTATATTTCATCTATTGATAACTTTCTTTCCTCTTGTTTCTTGCTTAAAAAAAAGGATATATTACTGTTTACCTTGTCTTTCCCCTATCTCTATTTTTTATTTTGTAGAACTGGATCCTGACTATCTTGGAAAGCATAAACAAATTGATCCAAAAGGCAACACCTCTCTTTCTGGTTCAGTACCTGCTGCCATCTTAAGCCCAGGCCACCACAGCCTTCCCAAAAATATCATGGCAAAAAATACTGTTCAGACTTCCAAGATTTTTGTTGCCAAAGCACCAGAAACTAATGCTGATGATCAAAAAACTCTTCCTCCATTACATCCAACTTTATGGGACACTTCTAAGCATGGGACATTGGACATATTGAAAGAAGTGCCTGAGATAGGTACTCAAGGAAGAATCTCTGAGTTGGAATCAGTAGTAATTCCACCTCCTGAACCATTCCAAGACCAGAGGAAGAGCCATCTCATAATACAGCATGAATCAATATTTACTGATTCTTGGAAACATGCTGAAAATGAGGCAACATCTCATTATGAACGTAAGAGGAACCAAGGTGTAACGGAAGAATATGAGGCAAGAGCTGTCGAACAAGAATTCCCACTGGAGATGATGGAGACAGCAGCTGGAAATGAATCCTTTCTGAAATCTGTCTCTCCTAAATGTAACAGGAAAAGTTCTGAACAAATTGTAAATCATCAAGAAATTGATCATAAACATATACTGGAGGAATCTCAGTTGGATTCTACTTTCAAGCAAGGCCCTCCTATTGCCCCCAAACCCAGAAAATTGCCCCCAAATATAATTCTCAAAACCAGCAAAAGTAATGTGGCGGTACTTAATATAGATCCAACACATAAGATAAAAGTATCATTGCCATTCAGTGGGAGACCTAGAGCTGCAACTGGTGACTTTTCCATGGATAAAACGTATGCCCCCCAAAAAGAACAAGGGAGGGCAAGGAGGGAGGCTCTTGAGAAACTGGGACTCCCTTTGGATAATGAAAAGAATCCAGATGACCAAGTGATCAAAACTTCTATTTACTCAAAAGCAAGAGAAATGTCCTACACTGGCAGTAGGGAGAATGTAAACATGGATGACATTACTCTTAATAAGAAATCTGTCCAGCAGTCTGACCAAACTGATGATAAAGAAGTCCAACCAACTGAGATTAGCATCCAAAGGATCCAACAGGCAAATTTCAAATCTAACACACTGGAACGATCTGGTGTAGGTCTGAGCAGTTGCAACACTTCTGGAAGGGAGGGAGAGAACTTTAAGAACAATAAAAGATCTTTTCTCAGCAAAATCACTCCAAATTTTCTCAGGAATAACCGGATGCGCCCAGCATCTCTTGGCACAGGGAAAGACTTTGTTGATCTGAAGGAAAACAAACAACATAATGTTGAGTGGGACAAAAGTCATGAGCGACGATCTTACCCACTTCAGCACCCCTCCAAGCTTCCTAGGCCAGCATGTGTTAGTGTAAAAATCAGCCCTAAAGGCGCCACAGAAGAGCACAGAAAGGAAGCTTTAAAAAAGCTTGGCCTATTGAAGGAATAAACTTAATAGCTGACTTAATGCAAAAACTGTATGTTCAGTTTTGGTTAACATCAGTGGTGGGATTCAAGTAATTTAACAACCGGTTCTCTGCCCTAATGTTTTCTCCCAATAACCAGTTTGCCAAACTGTTCAGAAAGTTAACAACCAGTTCTCCCGAAGTGGTGCGAACTGGCTGAATCCCAGCACTGGTTAACATACTTATTTAATATACTCTCCTCTTTTTTTCATCCCAATGGAGAAATTGAAGCTTATATTATGCCTATCAAGATTTTGTATAACATGTGAACATTGATGGGTGGATTAACACTGATAAAAAATTTATTCAATTCTGCCATTTATTATACAGTACACTTCCCATCAACAAAGAAATTTTCCATTCCAACTGTATAGAATGCATTTGTGTATATATGTACAAAGATTTGACTATTGTGATGTGTAAATATATGATTGTATGTGGTAGATATGTTCGGTTAAAAGGGGCAATCTAAAACGTTAGTGTTAATTTCATGGGGCAAACCATGAACTTCTGAAATATTGTATAATCACAATAGCAGTATGGCTAGAAATCTTTAATCAATATTGAGCTGCAATAGTAGTATGTTGGTTCCTTTTTAAATGACTGGGCCTAATGTAACCTTGCTCACTGAAACCAGCAGTACTAATTTGGTTAATATATGTGGATTATTCAGTGTCTGTTTAAAGAATGAATAAAGAATACATTGCATATAAATGTGAAAAATGAAAAAATTGACCATTCACTTATAAATTGGCTTCACATTCTAAATTAACAATTAATAAAATATAGATGCTAGAAATAAAATTGATTTGACCCACTTTAGATTTGCCACACCTATTGTATGTTAATTGATTATTGCTGTATTCAAATTTAAAATCACACAACTATTTAGAATGGAATGTATGAGTGCATGCTTCTAAAAGATTGAGTAATAAACTTTTGTATGGAAAAAGGTTGGGCTTCCATCTGCTTAGTAAAACTATCTTCTTGTAAGAATGAAATACAAATATAATAGGGGTTATAAGCTACAAAAATTTCAGTAGTACAAAGCTTCGTAACTTAGTCCTTCCTTTTCCTATGAAAACAGTAGCAGGTATATTAAAAGACTGAGATTAAAAATTAGGTATTGTGCAACTGAACTGCTGAACAAAACCTCATTCAAGAGCAACAGCAGCACCACAATTCTGAAATCTAAGATTCTGATATAGAGTAGAAGCAAAATCATAAGTCTGTGATATGTGTTCTTCAAATCGTTCTTTTTTTAAAAATTGTGATTTTTCTGAATTTCCAAACATTTAAAAATGTCTCTTGACAGTTCGTAGAAGTGAAGTACATATTAGTTATATGCATGGGTTTAAAAAAAATATCTCACTTTTACACACACACACACACACACACACACACACACACACACACAATATGTATATATATATATACTATATGTATATAGTGTTAAATTTATATTTACTGATAAAGAAATAAAAGGAGACTAGTATAGATCTATTTCAAGCTATTTAGCTCTCATCAGCTAGCCATACCCTTCTGGGATTCGAACCTGGATTCAAATGAAGCTTTGTGTGCATGCTCACCCGCTACTTCTGGTTTCAAAAAGGCCATGGCCCGCTATTGGGCCATGGCCTGGGGATTGGGGACCCTCGGTTTAGGATATGGCCATAAAGTTTTGGGTTTTGGGTAAAAAATATTACATTTTTTCCAGTAAATCTTCCTCCTCAATTATGTATATAGATGGACATATTCTCTCTGAAGGAACAATGACAATGATTATCTGATAATTATATCAATTAAATTAAGACTATTAGATTTATGATGTTCTGAAGGACAATGAATTTTTAAGCCATTCCAGCAATTTATTTATACAATATTATTATATGCTGTTGATCAAGATCCCTACAGCAAATGTAATAATGTAAATTGTAAGGTATTTTTCAATAGATAGGGGACAACATTACTATGGTGAAAACTCATACTAATGGACTAATTTGAAGGAGAGATTTGCATTATTTCTAAAATATAATACATGGAAGATTACATCATTGAAACATTCACTAGAAATAGTGCTAGCTATTTCTAACCATAGTATAATTTCACTTTGTAAATAGGCTTCTATATCTCTGGATTAAAAATTACAGAAGCTGGTTATAAAGAATTTTGTCTTCCTTCATGTTATAAATAGTGTTCATTCCTATTATTTAAATTTGTGAGAGATTATTTTTGTGGGGAACACCCTAAGCCTTGATTAAACACATTTATGCTTGGATGCTCATTTTCAAGAGTTCCTGATTCAACAAGTGATATATGAGTGCACATTTCATGCGGATCCCTATAATTGATTGGGTGGGGTGAACATTAGTTTAAATTAAATTTTTCTTTCATCGTCTTATTAATCAAAATGACCAATTCAGCTGCAGATAATTTTGTGTACAAAACACAAGCAAGGTTTTTATTTAAATCACTTCACATCTTTTTATTTACTATGCAAAAATGTAAACGAAAAATAATGGATCAGCTTTTCAAGTAGATGCAGGCACCTTATGCTGAAGTCTGGATTGTGACAGGCCCATACATGTGACTTTCTGGTGCAGGAGTTTTCTTTAACATGGCACAACTTGTTCTTGGCTTAGGTATGAGATGAAACACAAATGTCATTAAAGACATACTCCATGTAAACAGTTCTGAATCAAAATATCCAACTTTTGAGCCTCATATTAATCTTAAATATATGAATCATCACATTTTATTTTTAATATGTAAATAAAAAAAGCTTTTTGTGAAAGTTTATTAACCTTTACTTGCATCTGTACTGTGGTGCTTTAAATAAATAAAAAAAACCCATTGGAAATAACAGCATTTCATAACTATTTAAATATTATTAGTTTGAATTCACCACTTAATTCTATCTATGCTATCCTCTTGCATACAATCAGTTCAATTTCTGAGGGAAGCTAAAATCTTATGATACCTGGATTTATTTTGGACCTCTAATAATTTATTATTTATTTATTTTATTAGTCATATTTCTATGCCGCCCACTCTCAGAGGACTCTGGGCGGCTTACACCAAAGACAGTATACTAAATAGCATATTGCCTCCTAACAATCTGGGTCCTCATTTTACCCACCTCAGAAGGATGGAAGGCTGAGTCAACCTTGAGCCAGTGAGATTTGATTCGCTGATCTGCTGAAGTAGCAGTCAGCTGAAGTAGCTGCAGTACTGCACCCTAACCACTGTGTCACCTCGGCTCTTTTCAAAATTGTTTGAATCAAGACATATAAAGTTTCTGATCTTAATTTTTCATCTATCAGTTTAAATGTTCCTTCAAGTCACACTTCACTCCTGATGATTTCACATCACTGCAGTTTTCTTGACTCATTTATGCGGGGCTAAAATAAAATAAATATGGGACTCCTAACCTTCTCCAGGCAGGGTAGAATGCAAGGCAGATAAAGGCCCAAAAGGAATTTAAGAACCAAGTCTTTTAAGAATGAGATCATTGGAGCAAAGGAAAGAGTATAAAATCTGAAAGAAAAGAGGAAAAAATGGAGAATGGGACGAATGCTGTTTCTCTGCTAACAAGCAACAGAGGAAGAGGGAAAAATATGATTAATTGTTTACCATTATTGTTTTGATGGGACACAGGATGTTTCAGTGAGAAGTTAAATTGATGTAATTACACCAAAGTAATGGAAGGGAGGGGAAATGTGTGAAGCTCCTATTTTGACCTGCATGGCCTATGCATGATCTTCAAAACAAGTGAGATTTAATGAAGTCATAACTAAAATTTCCACTGATGTTAAAATACATGGTTATGTTTGAGGGTTATGTAACTCATGACTAACAATGATAATTGCCTACATGAAGAAAAATTTTGTTTTCATAAACAGATTTATACCAAACAACAGAGCAATGTTTGTACTATTTGTCAAACAACCTTCAGAATACTTGAAGTTATTCTGGATTATCTAGAAGCTGCAGTTGATACAATAATATTAGTTAAAGTTATACCTTTTTGCAAGATACAATGCTTATAAGGAAAGGGTTGTGCAGTGGTTGACAATTGTTTATCAAACATAATTTATGAAATTGCTGTTTAATATTAAAAACCTAAACTATTTAAAGTTCACTTATCTGAGGGATACCTTTCCTCTTACAAGCCTGTGTGATCATGAATGCAAGAGAGGACTTTTTAAGAATGCTCCTATTCCTTTATCTGGTATATGGAGCATGGCTTCTTTCAGTGTCACCTTCAGGCTGAAGAGCACACTGAACACAGAAAATTGTGTCTGGTCTTGATGAGAGTAAAATTTTTAATGTTTATTAGCTGCTTTGAGTACATGATGGAGTGGAAAGATACAGTAGGATGTAAAGTCAAATATATAAAAATATATCAGAATTGCATTAATTATAATGATTCTCAGGCCATGGTATGCTCCATCAGAATCAAATAGTAATTATTTTGAGATGTTTCCAAGAACGAACCAAGTTGGAAGCAACTTGAGATTTTCACATACAAATACCTTGGTATTCATCATTAATTGGTTCCGGGAGGCACAAATTCATTTTTCACCCATAAGGAATAATATGGTGAGTCACAAGGCAGCTGACACCAACACGGTCTAGCTTATGTGTTGAGTACCAAACAAATTATAAGTATTGGAACAAAATGTGATAAAATTCATTGAGTTTTGATTAGTTTCAAAGCAATTGAGTACCTAGGTACAACTGTATGTGGTTTCATCATAATTCCATATTCCAAATACCAGATGAACAAGCAAAGAATCATGTAGAAGGAGCAGGACTAATGGATCCTATGGGGAGATAGATCTTTTAGTAGCTGCTCAATGATTTATTCATTTATGGAACCCTTAAAGCCTAAATGTGGCTGTTAACCATTAAATTAATGCCTAACATGTCCTGTATTTGAATGTGGAATATCATCGTTCATATATTGATGGGTGCATGATATAATTGAAACAAAACAATGTGTTCTAACTGAATATAAACAAACTATTTTTGAACCTACATTTTTTCCCCTTCTTTCTTCAATACTTTTTTTCTGAATGTTATCCTTCTTGTGATTCAAATTAGGTTGAGCAAACTATCATTCATCTAGCCTAAATTTGGAGTCTGCCTGTATCAGAGAAATATGTGTGGAATATGTTGGGGAAGTTACTCCCATATGATAAAATAATACTTTTAAAATGAGCTGGCATAATTTGCAATTTGAGCTGCCTTCACTCATCAAAAGGAATGCACCCACCAACATACTTCATGGAACAAGATTGGGTTGTGTAGAGTCTTAACCTGAAGCATGTGTGGTATGTTCCCTAACAAGCCTGACCTACAGAGACCTGTTTATGTGGGTGGAGAGAATCCACAAGCACCCTTGTCTAGAGATTCTCCAATCTTAACTTCTGAATTCTCCATGTTCATGTTGTGACGGTATTAGGCTGGAACCAGAGAATTATGCATTCTTCTTGCCGGCATGGAAACTTAACCAAGGAGAGAAGCAAACTGGAACTAAGGGGAAATTTCCTGACTGTGAGAATGATGAACCACTGGAATGGCTTGCCACTAGAAGTTGTGGGGGGCTCCAACACTGGAGGTTTTCAAGAAGAGACTGGGCAGCCATTCGTCTGAAATGGCCTAGGGTTTTCTGCATGGTCAGGGGGTTGGACTAGAAGACCTCCAAGGTCCCTTCCAACTCTTGTTATTCTGTAATTCTATGCAGAAATCAAATCTATTGGTGCTTGATTAACCACCTCTTTGGTTTTTGTGAAAATCAATATTGCATTGTTTCTGGACAGCTATAATAATCTAGTGGTGGATTGTTTTGTCAATAACATGACTTTTTATGAAATCTTAAGTCTTACTACTTCTTAGGTTTCAAACAGTATGATAAGAAAAAGTGTTTAGGTGTGTTCCTGTTTCTAAT